ATAATCTAGGCCACACAAAACTTTCTCGTTTATTGATCCCTCCAGGCGTTTCTAACTTTTTCTACAAGAATTCAACCAAAACAACACCCAACAATTTTCAAACTTAAATGAAAACAAAAATTCTGCAAAAGAAACTCACAGAGATAAGCTAGTTAAATCTTTTCATTTTAAATTTCCAACCAGTCTAGTTGGAATTCTTGAAAATAATTCATTTAAAAAAATATGTCATAATATCTAATGTTTTTTGCATAATTAAAACCAGTTTCCCACGATGCTATATTTCTGATATTGCAAATGTTTACAAATAATTTTGAAAAAGAAATTTAAGGTTTAGGTTTTCTTTAAAAGGAGCAATAATACGTATTCGCGCATTTACAATATTCGTATGAAAATCAAGAAACGCACACTCTGCCTTAAATTTGCTCGGTTTCACCTAGCAGATTTGCCCGTGTGGCAAGTGGCATTAGAAAAAACAACAACACAATATTTGATTTCATACAACACATAATTGCATCACAGGAGATTTTTTGAATTAGACCTAAAGAGACAAAATATCTAATTATTAATACAAATTTTATTTTGTTAGTATTCAAATAATTAAATATGTAAAATAGAATTTTGAATTATTGTAAAAATCAAATTTTATTCAATACAATAATTCAAATTATCTTTTAGCAATTTTCTGAAATAAGGTAGTCTTAAACTATTCTAAATTTACTTTCATCCTCAGTTGTAAATTATTTATATCTTTTTCGATTTTGTAAACTAAAAATTCCTTTTAAATCATCTGAAAATGTCCCCTATTAAGACACTGCAACCATTTTATTTTTATTTTCAAGCATTTCCCAAAGTAGATCGAACAAAAATTATGCTTATTAAACTGATCACTTATAATTAAACCTAAAAATGTGTCATTCATAATTATAACCATTAAAAAAAGCTTTGAAAAAGACTATGAAAAAACAATCTACTTAAAACAACAACAATAATAATAATAGCATTTTTCAACATTCTATCGAACGCGTGAACAAATTTTTAACCCCCAAAATCCAAATAAAACCTCAATTATGATTTTTAAATTTCTACTTTTGGGAAAAATACGATAATTTTTAGATAATAAATAGAAATATATTTTTATTTTGCTTAAAACCTGAAAGCTAATTAATTTTTTTTTTTTTTTTTNTTTTTTTTTTTTTTTTTTTTTTTTTTTTTTTTTTTTTTTTTTTTTTGAAAAATATATATGTTGTGTTTTTTCCTTTTGGTTGTCTTCGGAGTAAAAGTTAGAAGATAAAAAATGGTATATTGGAGAAGTATAAATATTTAATTCTTGGAGCAAGTAAGAAGATGGATTTTTGTTGTTTTTAAGTTAAAAACGTTTCTCGTCATTTCCTGGAACGTTTAACGAATTCTTACATTTTTACAAAAATATATTGACACAAATTATTTAATTCATTACGGTATATATAATAACTTGCATTTTCCTGAGTCTAAGCTCAAGGTGGATTTTAAATGTCTATTTTATAAAACTGAACAGTTGAAGTAGTTATGAAAATAAGTTTTCATAACAGTTTCAGAAACAAAACAAAAAAAAAGCTAAAATATATATTATAATGAATAAAACTATTTCATGATTCTGCCTTTTATAACGATCAATTCCAAATATTTAAGATTGACATTTCAGAAAAATAATAGTTCCACATATCAATCCTTGTACTTATCTTGATTCGAGAAAATAAATTAAAAAGAAACTCCCCTATATTTCCCTCTATTTCCTCAAAGTAAAGAAAATTGTGTCAAAATTAAATCCGTAAGATTTCCCGAAGGAAGTAAAGGGATTTTTTTTTCAATTATTACGAAACTTCAGGGGGAAAAAATATATTCCAAGTTTCACATTTTTATCCTTACATCCTGTTCATAATATTTATTTTATGTATGAATTATTTCACTTTCATTTTAGGAAAACACTCAAACTGTCAAAAGTCATTCTTATCTTTTCAACAAAGGTGAATTACAAACATAGATATATTTGCATACGAACTGTATCTAACTTATAATCAATGTGGGAAAACAACAAAAAAAAATTCATGAGTATCCAAGAAAAACAAAGCCCAGCTGTTTCCAACAATACAATTCGAATATTCTGGAAATAATTTATTATTCTAGAAATAATTTATTATTCTTGAAAACTTAATTAAATCATATTTTTCACTAATAATAAAACTAATAATAAAACCCTTACGACAAAAAATGCGAATTTGTAAAATTTCGGTAGCAGAATTTACAAAGTGAATCTGCAATACTCTCTTCGTAAATCTAAATTTGTCTGCGACCTCAACATAGACAGAGATTATAATTGTAAAAATTCAGCTTAATCTAACATGCATTTAGCAAAATTTGCAAATATAACGCTTTTATGAATAAAGATTTTATGTTGTTTAAAATCAAGTTTAATTTTATTAAATTTTATTTATTAAATTATAAATAAAGCGCTCGCGAATAAAAATTCAATTATGTAAAATCACGGTAGCAGAATTTACGAAATGAATCTACAATATTCTCTTCATAAATCCAAATTTGTCTGCGACCTCAACATAGACAGAGATTATTATGGAAAAATTCAGTTCAATCTAACATGCATTTAGCAAAATTTGCACATATAACGTTTTTATACAACGAAAAAATTATGCTGTTTAAATTCAAGTTGGATTTTATTAAATGATACTACAAAAAATTATATAAATACCTATACAGATAAGACAGTAATCAAATAGAAGAATTTTTTTTTAAATTTCCTATTCTATGCGGTGTTCCCTCAATAAATAATTTGTATTCGAAACAGTTAAGAGATGTTTTAAAAAGGAATCTCATCAATTCTCCCCCACCACATTTTGTTTCATTGTTTTTTAAAAAGAAAAAGAAATCCGCAGATGCTGCAATAATTTGCAGAGCACGCTGCAGTTCTGGAAAGTTTCTGCAACCGGGTGTAAAATATAAAGTGTGAAAAAATAACAAATCGTTCAATTATATAAGCATGTTTTTTTTTTGGAATGTACAAATAGGAATAGAATATATGAATGGCAAAACTTTTTTTTAAATTTTCGGGTGTGTATGTAGATGGAAATGTTACATAAGTCAGATTTCCTTGAAAAAAAAAAGGGCTTCTTTAGACAATTGAGAGATTTTGTATAGCCTTTGTCTTAGCGTTAAAAGTGCAGTAAAACACTGTGACGTAAAGAAATTTTTACAAATAATAAATAAATAAAGTTGATTCATTAATGATAGTTTCTTGCGAAACATCGTAAGAGAAACAATTTTTTTCCCTCCATTTTTATATACTAGCCTTCCGGGGATATATCAAAAAGATTCCATTCCATTACATATTCATAAATACTATCNTTTTTTTTTTTTTTTTTTTTTTAAATAAAAAGAAATGCGCAGATGCTGCAATAATTTGCAGAGCACGCTGCAGTTCTGGAAAGTTTCTGCTACCGGGTGTAAAATATAAAGTGTGAAAAAATAACAAATTGTTCAATTATGTAAACATGTTTTTTCGGAATGTACAAATAGGAATAGAATATATGAACGGCAAAACTATTTTTTTTTTTTTTTTAAGTTTTCGGGTGTGTATGTAGATGGAAATATTACATAAGTCAGATTTCCTTGGAAAAAAAAAAAGACTTCTTTTAGACAATTGAGAGATTTTGTATAGCCTTTGTCTTAGCGTTAGAAGTGCAGTAAAACACTGTGACGTAAAGAAATTTTTAAAAATAATAAATAAATAAAGTTGATTTATTAATGATAGTTTCTTGCGAAACATCGTAAGAGAAACAATTCTTTTTTTCCATTTTTATATACTAACTTTCTGGGGATATATCAAAAAGATTCCATTCCATTACATATTCATAAATACTATCTTAATTGTTCATTTATCACAATTACTCCACCAGGAAAAGAGTGAAATTTGCATCGTTGGCAATTTTTTTAGTAGTTCAAAGATTAATTTCACATTCGAATTTTTTTTTATAAAATCATATTAACTTTGTAAGATCATCAGTATGATCCATGGTCATCAACCATTGTCTAATTTGACATTAGGTAGGGAGGATTTTTTTCTTCTTTTTTTCGTTGCACTGGAGCTGCACAATGGGCTAATAGAGACGGTCTAAGAAACATTTCTGAGGATGATCCGAAGACATGCCATCACAATTCTGATCCTCTGCATTAGGAATAGCTCTCCTGCTTTGGTAGCCCGACGACCTGCGCGTAAAATCGAGTACTGTATAATCGAACAGTTAACAAGGACCTATACCGAGCACTCTCTGTACTTACACAAACTGATCAAAATTGTCACAAAGCCGCTTACTGACAGCAGCCAGTGATGCTTGATTTCGGTGTACTTCTGATCACTGCGTCTTTATGATCAGAGGCCGTAGTAGCCCAGTGGTTAGAGAATCGGACTTAGATCTGGAGGGGCTGGTGTTCGATCTACGACTCCACTAAGACCTACTGAGCATGTGATATACGTGCTCGTAAAATCTGTGGAATCGAAAGTTTGTGGTCGGTTGCTGAGCAGAAATCATGGGTACAGGGAACTGGAGTAAATTTCCTTCCCCTTCACATTTATGTCTAATTTGAGGAAGTGACCTTCACAAAATTGTGATGACATGTCTTCGAATCATCCTCCGGGATGTTTTCCAGACCATCGCCAATAGCCCATTGTGCAGCTTTACGATCAGTCCAGTGCGGGACTAACTTGACATCAGAAATCGTGGTATTGAAAAACTAATTCCCGAATAGTTCGAAAATCAAACTGAAATCTGAATTACAAATTAATTATTTATTTTGATAAAAAATACACAGCTTTTCAAAGCAAATAACTTAATTTGTGCTTTATATATTTGTCTACTTATTTAATTGTTATTCATAAAATAAACAAAATTTACTTCAACTTCAATCTCTCTACGTTTGAGACGAGCCTCCTGATCTGACCACTCACAGCATGTAATCTGTCTGTCATGGATGAAATAGGTGGGACTTAAATGAGTTGTTTGCATTTTGCAGACCCGGCTGTCTGCTACGTCAAACATTCATCCTTTTTCTTTTCAAATCTGGTTTTATTCAGAAGTAGTTGAGTTATGAACAAATTCTTTTAAGAAGTCATTTAACCGGTATAACTCACATATACTTCTTCCAGTAGTCTTACATTAGTACTCTCGCGTATCATCTAAAAATGTGCGGTGAGTATTGTGATTTAGCTAAACTTTTAAAATTTATAACGCTAATTAATACTAACCCTGCTTGTAGACAAAAAAGAAGTAACTATCTTGAACTTAACAAAAACAATATCAATTCGTAATAAACATAAAATTTGTCCTACTTATGTTATTAATTAATTAGTCTTAAATTTTGGTCGTTATTTACATGCTTAAAATTACTCTAATCCTTTTTAAATATCTGCTTTCTTTAATATGTATATTTGAAAAGTTTGCTGTAAATATGTAAAGCTTTAAAAGGTGTTTTTGTATTGCACATTCTTTCATAATTTTAATTTTGGTAATACTACACTCCCTATTGAAGAAAATTTTAGTGCTAGTACTTAGTTGTTAGTTTAAGTATTTAGTAACTGGGACATTAAGAATATTTTTATTTTTTAAAACAGTTTTCAATATATTTTGTAAAGCTGTGCAGTATTTAGAATAAAGTTTATACAACCGTTAGTATGTAATTTAATTAAATAGTGATAAAATGAAGTTAGGGAATTGTAGACTTATATAAAATGAGAGATTTTCTGCAAGCACATTGTATTCACATACAATGTGTAATTATGTGTGTATACTTCTTGAACCTACTCTACAATTCAGTATATTTAAAATAATCAGAACTTGCTTTGTACACTGAGTAATATTAATGAAGTTTCTATGAATGGTGGGAAAAAAATTTCGAACCAGTCTTGTGTATTATGCATTTCTAGTAATTAGTTAAATATGTCAATACTGAACTGTACTGTAATTTTTATGAAGTTTTTTTTAAATTGTTTATATATATTTAAATGCAATTTTCTTTTTAAATTTATATTTCTGAGCTATTTAATGATTACTTACTGTCAGTTTAAACTATTCAATGTTTTGCATTACGGAGTCCTTACATTACTGATGGTATAGAACTTTTTTACATAGACCACCTGGCTAAATAGGTGAGCATTTGAGGGCCACAATTATGTCAAAGGGAAATTTAATTAATTCTATGAGCTAATTTAATGAAAAGGACTGGAGATATTATTCTACTATTAAAATATTTGTTAAATATATATAAAACCTTATAGTGTAAAAATATTTAAACTTATACACATTTTTACTATATTTTTAAAATACATAATTTTAGCTACGTATAAATTACTTTCTAAACTACTTTAACTATTAAACTATTTTAGCTACTCTTTTGTTTTTGACGTAAGCTCTTAACCCACTGGCAGTTTAGAAAAGGGGTAAAATTGGGAGGATGTTTCTCCCCCATTACACTATTCCCCTATCTGTTAACATGGAAAAATCGGCTTTGCTAGGCAGACTGCTGCATAAAATAAGACTTTTCACATGCAGAACCGTCAGTGGATTAAACTACATTTATTTTATCATAAAGAAAACTTCTTTAAAAAATTTAATTATGTGTTAATTAAAAAAAAAATTTCTTGAGTAATATTCAAAATTTTGGGCTATAAAGCAAATTGGCACATTTATAATATTAAAGGGTCATATGTAGTCTTTGAGCTGAAGGTTGTACTCCACTACGATATACTTTATGAAAGTATTTTTCATTTTAAATTTTTTGACAGTTGAATAACGTTATAAATACTAACCAGTAGAAGTGTTATTCTTTATACTAAGTCTTTCATTTTAATAAATTATAGAACATTTTTTATTTCAGGAATCTTTGCATACTTGAATTATTTGGAGCCTCGTACTCGAAAAGAAATTTTGGAGTTTCTAATTAGAGGTTTGCAGCGTCTAGAATACAGAGGCTATGACTCTGCAGGTATAATTCAAAATCAATTTAATTTTCAAACTGTCAGGCTTATTACACAAAAGAGCAACTCCATGTTGGTGGATGTTTAATTTTGATAAGTTTTCTTTTTAAAAAAATTTCTTCATTTATAAATATTTAATATTTTTTAAAAATTATATGGGATATTTTTCAATTACCTAACATTTTTATGCATGTAAGAGAAAAGGATGAAATTTATAAAAGTTTTATTTACAATTAAAATATAAAATGTGGCTGATACTATTATGGGTAGGACATGGAATAAAATATATTTTATTTTATATATAAATATATGCATGGAATTAAATATATTTTATTTTTATTTTTCACTTTCTATGAGCAATGTTTTTGAAATTTAGTGAAAAAAAAAATCAACAGGAATTTTAAGTACAAATGAAATGCGTATAAAGAATGGCAAATAGAGAAAAAGCTCCTGTGACTAATATTAAAACATTTGTGACTTTTGCTTAATACGCACTATATTAAAATTTTAATATACTTTATTTTAAACTACAATCTAAAATTCAACTAAGAGCTAAGAAATTTGTTAATTGAATAATGCTATTACGTGTTTATTTTTCTGTCTTTTGTATTGTGGAGCCACCTGAAAATGTACAAGTATTTTGGTGTTTATAGTTTATCAACATTAACATTTTTTTAAGTAAGATTTATATCGAGAAACTAATAGCAAGTTATAATCTAGATTAAGATTGTGATAGACAGTCAAAGGGTTGGGTTTTTTGGTTAATTTTCTTTTGGAAAAAGTTCATTTTCAAAAAATAAGTCAAAATAAATTTCAATGTTTAACATTAACTTTATTATAACATAAGAGATATATTTACAGACGTGTGCAAAAGACTCCATGGAGTTAATTATTTTTTAACTGCTTTCAGCTTTTTGCTGCTAATGCATGTAAATTCAATTTCAGATTTTAAAGAAAAGTTGCATTGAAAAGCTGTGCTGAATTTAAAATATAAGACAGGTTTTAAAACAAATAATTTTACTTTCTATTATAATTAAATTACAACATATAGGCCATTGTATAATTTATTCTGTCCTGCAATTGAAAAATAAGCTTAAACATCAGAAAATTCAAAATTAGAATTTTATATATTTGGCATCTTTATATGGTAAACTACAAAAAGTTGTCGAGCCACTTTTCTCGAAATCAATCGCGAAGTAAGTTTTTTTCAATTTTATGGCAGTAACATTCTAACTTTTTTTTTTATTTCTTCAGTGTATTCTTTGAAATCCTACTAAAATTTTATTTTGAATTTAAAATATACTAACAAATGGTATTTTTTTTTCTTTCAAAAACTAGGAGTTGCTATTGATGGTGATGCTGTTGGAACATCTATTCAAATAATCAGACGAAGTGGAAAAGTGAAAATGCTTGAGAATGAAATTTGGGGTAAATCATTGCTGTTAAAATCTTAAATTAATTTGTCAAACATGTTTAAATTATTCAAACTTTTATGTTTGAAAATTCTAATGTAATTTCCATATGTTATGCATCAGATTAGTTTTTATAATTTTGTAGATTTTTAATTTAAAACATTAAAAAATGAAATTTTTTTCTATTTGATTATTTTCCACAATAGGTTATTTATATTTGAGTAAATTTATTTTTAATAATTCATAAAATACATAAACAAAAATTGCTAATTGTTTTATGCTTTTTCTGCATAATTTCAGTTTTAAAATTTTATAAATTACACAAGGAATTATATTAATTATATGATATTAAAAGATATTGTTAAATGCTTATAACTTAGCATAGATAATTTTTAGTCACTTTTTAGGTTATATTTTCAGATACTAATTAATGTGAAACTTAAGTGCATTCTGGCAGTAAATAAAATACAGAACATAAGGGCACCAAAAATCTCTCAATTGCATACTTTCAAACTATCTTGTTTTGAAAACAAGTTTCTTAGAAGACCAGACTTTTATTTAACATAATCCAAAAAAAAATTATTTAATTAAAAAAATTTTTTTGTATTGAGCTTCCAAGTACTTAGATTTTTATTCTATGATCACTGCTTATATTTAATAATTGGGTATTTAATATAGTTTAACATTTCTTTCAGACGCTACTGATATTGATTTTAGTCAAGAGTATGATTCCCACGTTGGAATAGCTCATACTCGTTGGGCTACTCACGGTGCTCCCAGTGCATGTAATAGTCATCCACAAAGATCTGATCCTTCAAACGGTAAGCATTTAAAATCGACCATGTTAAATTTTTTTTATGAAATTTTATGTGCATTTTAATTGAAAAAAATTTAATTTTGAATTGAATTAACGCTTGCGTGAATTTATATTTTTTTGTTTTGTTATATTTACTAGGTTATAATCTGGCCAGATAGGAAGCAGTTCAATATTTAGTTATAGTTTGAAAGGATTTCTGTTGCTTATTCACTTAGAAAAAAAATCTAAATTATACGTTAAAAAAAATTAAAAACAAACTTCAGCAGCTAATGTTTTTACATATTAATCCATCGTATGTTTTAATTTTAAAAATTTCTAGTGATTTATTGTTTTACTTTGCAAATCTAATTTTTTGTATTTTGCAAAAAGAAAAATGTGAATTTGTTAAAATCTTGCTTAATATAATGGTAATTATAATTGACTTGCACTGACTTTAAAATTGTGTTCTTTTTGTTTCAGAATTTGTTTGTGTTCATAATGGCATTATTACTAACTACAAAGATGTCAAGAAATTCCTGGTATTTATTGTTTAAGTATTGGAAATCATATTATAGAAATTTGTCCAAATTTTGTCTTGCTGATACTTTATTTTTCATTAATTATTTTAATTGTAATTTCTATAAACTTTAGAACTAAATGAGTAATAAAACCTATTGAGTGTTTCAAACTTAGTTTTTGGAATCATTTGATAACCACATTTGAAATGTTTGGAATGAGAAATGCATAAAATTGAACAATTTTAGATTGAAACATTTTTATGAAATAAATTATATTTAAAAATTAACTTAATCTTATTTTTGGAACCATTTTATAAATTTAAATTAAAATTTTTGATATATAGAAAAATTAACTAGAGAAACTTATTTATAAAAATTATACATCCCATTTTATTCTTTCAAATTAAAGTCTGTATTTGTATTTTTACTGTTTCTTATAGCTGAATATTTTATTTTCAAAATTTTATTATACTTTTATCCCAGAGAGTTTTGACAGCTTTTTTAATTAAATTTTATTATCAAAACAATATAGGCTTTCATTACTTAAATTTTCTAAGTGACTACATAGTAATTAATTTTAAAGATGGTAACATTTATGTTTTAAATTATCGATAAAATTAATTGTTTCACAGAGATCAAAAATTTGTATCTACAGGAGACTTTTTTTTTTCTCAATATTTGACCACCCTTTTTTTCCAGTAGCAGTACTACTGGTGACTACTAGTGTTTGTAGATAAAAGGTAGAGCACTGAAAAATTGTAGTAGGTGCTTAGCAACGGGTGGATGGTGTATGTACAATTGAATTCTCACAAATGTAATGCTGATGTTTTATAAACTCATTCCAATTTTTTATTTATGTTAATTTATTTCTACTTTATCTAAGCATTCTACATAATATTTAGACATTTATAGATTGACAAATGTACATAGGAAATCAAAGCTATCTAAGTTAGTATTTCTCAAAATACAAATGTTATTTTGAATAAAAATTTTGTTTCAACAAGGAGGCTTTTTATGTTATCAGCAATGGATGAAATTCTTATGTTCTATAAAATACTTTCTTTATATGGAATGTAAATGTATGGCAATCTGTAGTCCAATTTTTATGCCATTAAGTTCCTCAGTATTTCTTAACAGTCAAATTTTACAGAAATTTAGAATCACAGAAATTACACACTTTGCAAATATTTGCTTTAAAAAAAATTCTAATTGCTTTAATTTAATGTTATATGTTCAAGATAAAAATTTAATCCATTTTTGTAGTTTTTTCGAGTAAATTACATGAATTTTACCCGCAATTGTTTTGTGGTTTAATTTTAATTTAATGTAGCTGAAGTGCTAAAATGGAGGGTATCTTCCTAACCAAAAAAAAATAATAAATAATTGCCGTACACCTTTACAGAAAGTTATCTTGAGTTCCTTGTTAACTTTTTATTTTAAATATTTGTTTTAAATTTACTGTAAGTCAAATAAATTTAATTTTATTAATATTTCCTTGCAGCTGAATCATGGACACAAATTTGAATCTGAAACAGACACTGAAGTTATATCAAAATTGATTCTACACCTTCATCAAAATAATCCTCATTTGTCTTTTAGAGAACTTGTTGAACAAGTTATCCTGCAGCTGGTAAGTATTGTTTTTGCTGTGAATTTGTTATAATATTTTATTATTGACTTATCATTTCATATTCTTTTTTTAGGAAGGTGCATTTGCTCTAGTATTTAAAAGTAAAAAATATCCAAATGAATGTGTTGCAACTAGGTTAGTTCACTTTCTTATATTTTTGTAAATATGTAAGTTTTGTAAAATATTGACCAATAATGTCTTAAGAAATTTTTTCCTTTCAATTTTTGATTACTACTTTTCGTTGTCTAAAATTAACAAAATTAATTTTGTTCAATTTCATGGTATACTTTTTTAATTTTAAAAATGTATACCATTCAATTTTAAAATGTCTGTATTAGAACAAAACTATACCTTTTCTATAAATATATTAAGCTTTTTAGTTAGCATTCAAAAAATTTAAAAAATTTTGTACACTAATTGTTATTGGCAATATTATTTTGTTCCTGTACTTAGATTTTATTTTCTACTATAACTTAATATACACATAGGCTGTTGTAAGGAATTTAAGACTTTCTACTATAATTTGAGTATTTTGAGTGTTAAATTTTTTAAACTTTTTTTAGGCGGGGAAGTCCTTTGCTTGTGGGCATTAAAAGCAAGACTACTCTAGCTACAGATTATATTCCTGTATTATACAGCAAGGGTAAGAATGTTGCAGAAAATCATTTTAATTTTACATTGAAAAATATCAGTGTTTAATAATTTATGTTTAGGAAAATCAGTTTTTACTATAAAAATTGAATTCATAACTGTATTCTTAACTGCACTTCTTAAAATATTAAGTGAGCACTTATTTAAAATGAAACTACTCTTTGCATTTTTATTCTTTAATGTATAATATCTTTTTATTCAAGAGTTTTGTGTATTCTATATTCAATCTGTATTTCTAATTGTGAATGTGATCTTTATTTCCATGCATGCTTCTTTTCTTCACATGCACGCAACTTCAGATCTGGAAAAACAGAGCATTCAAGGTACAAAATTTTTTCAATCCATCCTTCAAGCTTTGAAACTTTATTAGAATAATTTATCTTTTTTCAGATTTTTAAGTATTCTGAAAGAATGAATATTTTTATGTAAAACTTAATTATTTTACTATCATTAAAATATTCATTATAAACATCTCTAAAAATGTCTTTACATCAATTTATAATGTAGACATAAATCTGAATGTGTATTTCTAAATTTTTCCTTTTAATGAAGGGTTTTAATTTAAGTTTTTAATTTTCAATTCTAAACTTACTAATGTTATGAATATCTAATTCTTAGTTTTCTTAATAAATTTTACTAATTTTTTCTGAAAAGTTTTGTCTATTAAACTCTTGTAATGTATAGGAATGTTAACTCTTGTAACCTTATGTTTCATACTAAACTATGTATTGTTTCTATTTTCTGTTTTTGTGCTTTGTTCTAATCTTATTTTGATATACCTTCCTTTCTCACCCTTCCTGCATGTTGACATCCTATGTTGCACCTTTGTCTCTAGATGACAATCAAAACTCAGGTACTTTAATTTATTTTTTATTCTCTATGATGAAATATTGCTACTTCATTTTTTATTATATAATTCCTCTTTATAAAAGAAATAAAGGCTAACTTTGAACTAGAGTATTGTAACATAAAGTTTAAAACAGAAAAGAAAAGCAATTTCAATATTGTAAACAAATATCCGCAGTTGCATGCTACAAAAAATTGCATGACGAAGTTGCATCTAATCATTGACTACTGAAACTAGTAAAAAAAAAAAGCAGCAATGCATTGTAAGTCCATCATACTGAAAATCTAGAGAAAAGTATTTTCTTTCTATTTCCAGTATGAAAGTAAGGAAAAGGAGTACTTTATTTTCCGACAACTTGAAAGTTTTGCCCAGTCAGTCTTTCCCAAGATTTACTTTTTAATTTCTTATTATAAATCTTACCACTTTACCCTGCCTAGATTTGTCTGGTTCCTCTATACATGTTGCTGGTCAATTTTTTCTACATTAACTTGCTGCAACTTGATTGAGTTCAATTTTTTCTTTTATCCTTTGTATCCTCATTGATATTTGTTTATAGTACTGAAACTGCTTCTTTATTTGTGTTTTATGTTTTTGTGTTGCTCAATTTATTATCCTGAAAATTACTTAACTTTAAATCTGAGCCAGATATTGATAAATTAAGTTAGAATGTTGCAGAAATATCAACTTAGAAAGTTTAGAAAGGTCAGGTGCAAAATAGTTTCTTTTTCATGCTATGAAAAATACTATCGGATAACAAGATATTGTTTGATGTAGATAGATGATATTAAATCTCACAAGTTTAAGAGAAATGTAGATTACTTGAACTTCATTTTTTCTGGTTCTGTATTATGTCAGATTATCTTTTTCCTTTGTTTGCAAATTTTTATTTTATTTAAATATGCAGCCACAAAATTGTAAAGAGATTCCTGTATGAAGTATATAATTAGTTTATCGCTTATCTCATTTAATTCCATTCTCATTTAATTCCATTTAAATTTAGGTTCTTTTAATTTTGTTTTTTGTACCGTTCTTGTATTTCCTTGTAATATAAGAATGTGACCCCATTAATCTCTTATGAAGCACGTTTCAGTTAAATAAAAAGCAATATTTCATTTTTCTATTTAAAGTATTTAAGATTTTTTTTTTTTTTTTCATTTCTTCTCTTAGATGTTTACCTTTTAATTTTTTGTTCAGTCTGTTTTGTCTGTCAGTTTGCTTATTGTTTTTGTTATGAATGTTATGTTATGGAATATTATCTAGTTTTATTAGTTCCTGTCATAAAAATTTGTTAAGTTAAAAGATATTTCAATAGTGAACTTTTATGTTTTGTTAGCTTTTAGTCACAAAAATGTATTGTTAAAATCATAAAGGAGTTATGGTAATTGTTTTTGGAAACTGAAGAAAAATTTCTTAAAATTAATATGCATTGACCATACGTATTGTTGAGACAAAAAAATGGCTCAGTTAAAGAATAACATGCAAAATTTAACAGTTTGAATTTATAATTCTTGTTTTGAGTTTACTAGACGCTTTTCATGTTACAGTTTAAAGTAACTCTCTGTAAAATATTTATTCATTTAACCGATGGTAAGCAGATCTAAAAATATATTTCAAAAAATAGGTTGCAATTTTATTAAAGTTTTCTGTTTTTAGCTTGTGTCTTGACAATTAACGAACAAGTTTTTTAAATATGTGTTATTAGTTTTGAATTTGTGTTTTAAGTTGATAATTTAAATTTAATAAAATCAAATTGTGAAGTTAATTAACATGAGGTTCAATTTTTCTTTTTTGATCCATTTGAGTTATTTGAATGGAGAGCTAAATAATGCTTCAAAGCTGATAGTAAAATTAAACCTTAATATACTTTTACTATTTTATTTCTATTATGCAAAACTCTTATCTTGTGCTAAGTTTTCTTCCAATTCTTCAGCTTTGTCTAAACTGTTCCATTTTTTTTTTGTAAAGTTTAAAATATGTTAAGCATTATAAAAATGTCTTTTTTCCAACAACAAAATATTAATTTTTTGTTTCTACAATTTAGTGCTGTACACTTTAAATTAAATCAGCGCTTGGTGAAGAATTAATGATTGTACAAATATAAAGCTCTATACTTAAAAATTTTCTTCTGTTATTGAAAATTAGCATATAAGTAAACTGCATTCTGTATTTATGATACCATTTTCTTAAGTTTTTATAACTTGTTATAGAAACCACTAAAATGTTTTTGTCAATGTATGCCATTGAGTATTTTAATATTTTCTTAATAGTTATTCAATACTTTCTATAGTGTTTGTGGATATTTCTAAACTAAGCAGCCAGCTAGTTCATTTGAATTAAATATATCAAAGTTTTGTTTGTTTTGAGTGTTACTAATTTTTTTTTCTCGTTATGAATGTGTGGTTTAGATATGCGCTCTCATCAAACCTCCCCCTTACCTGCTGGTACAGTGCAAGCTCAAGGTATTCCTCGATCTGATTCCACCACAGAGTTTCATCCAACTGGTGATGATAAAGAAGTGGAATATTTCTTTGCATCAGATGCTAGGTAATTATTCATTATTAGAACATCTCCACTGTATTTTGAAATTTCTGTTCTGGAATATGCAATATAGTTTGTAAAAAAAGAAATATTCCTAGAGTACAGTTGTCAAAATGCAGAACACTATGATGCGAGCTTGCATATTATAAATTTTAAAAATTAAATTTTTTATTAGTTTCAAATGAAATAACTATCATATGGGTGCAATTAGGTAGTTTTTTTTTCAAAAAAAGTTACATATCGCTGGTTCAAGGTTAAAAAGACACTTCTGCACTCACTTCTTAATCAAATAACATGAGAAGTGAGTGCAGAAGTGTTGTTTTAACTTTGAACCAGCGATATGCTAGAAAGTATTTTTAGCCTAATACTAAACACTTTAAATTTGAATTCTAAGTTAACTTTAGAAGGCATAGATGGTTAGATATTTTTGATTTAATGTTATTTTAGTGTTTTACTTTGTACTTTCATTAAAAGCAAAAAGCTGCATCATTCTTTCTAACTAAGCAAATCAGTATTCTAGTTGCATTTTTACGTCTCTTTACTGCATCATAATCTCTGGGGGAACTATTACTTCTATGTAATGATAAAAATATGCTTTGAAGTAACTAAAATATTACTCCTGAACTGGTATGGTTCTTATTTTAAACTTTGCTTTATTGTAATAAATTTCTCAAAAGAATTATAAGTTGATCTATAAATTAAAAATCTTTTATTTAATAGTACAGTAGCTTCTACAAGTTACAAAATCAAATTTTTAATATATGTATTTAAATATGTAAAATTCACATCAAGCAGTTTCTAAAAGAATTCTTTTTGTTCATGTCAAAAATCTTGTACATTCTAGTTTCAACTATTGTACAAAAATGTGTTAAAAGTTACTTTTAACAAATCAGTATTTCACAAAACATTTAAGTTCTAAAAAGATTAATAGTATATATACAATATTAGTTCATCTATTTTGGATTTTCTGCATCAATATTTTCTTGCTTCAAAAGTAAAGTTCTTGCTAGTAAAATAAAGTTCTGCAATTTTGTGTAAGCTCTAAAAGAGCTCATTCAAAAAAATTTCCATATTTTCATTTTGCTATTAAATTAACTAAACTTGTAATAGGTTGAACACATTTTATAATCATCGTTGAACAGCCGACCCAATTTTTGGGTTTACGATTTCTAATCGTCAACTCCATAGCCTTGTAATTTTGATCCCAATCCGGAAGACAAGGGAACTCCTGGAACAAATTTGCCTTTGTAAAGGACTTTTTGATGTAACTGACCTGCATTTGCGTTACATGGAAAGGAGTCCATGAGAACCCCCAAGGGGTCGTCTACCGCTGAGGATATTTTATGTCAGCACTGTGGCCAGTGCAAGCCAGTTGCGGGTTCATTTCTACCAGTCATCGCTGGGGATTCGAACCCAGTTCACCTCATTGGAAGGCGAATGCTCTATCCCCTAAGCCATTGCGGCTCGGGTTGAACTCATTGTAAAGTACAGTCTAGTAACATTTACTCATGGAGAACATTTATTAACGTTTAAAACAAAATACAAATTTATCGCATGACTAAGAAGCCAGTTTTATACTTGTTGTGTGCTAATGTATTTAAGTTTTTATTTTCATGGGACTTGTATTCTGGCAAAAGAATCAGTAATAAAATATTACTCTTGTTAAAAAAACTGATCTTTTTAATCTCTAAAATTTTAAGGTATTTTAAACAATAGTCATCAATTACAAATTCATTTACTTTGGAATGACATTAATTTCTCATGAGAGTCAAATTGATCCCCAACGTCAGTTTTATGTAAATCTAAAATTCTGCTTTTTGTGAAACTAATATGTAACTGAAGTTTATTGTTAAATAAAAAATAAATTATAATGTGGTTTATAATAAAATTAAATTGTAAATTTTATCAAAAATGTTAACATTTAACTACTAATGGAAGACTTGTGCCGTGGCACTAAAAGGTTTAATTTAAAATATATTAAAATGGCAATTAAACTTATGATTTTCAATTTCAGTCACCATTGAAAGTTATAACCATGGAGCAATCATTCACTTCAATGAGTTGAGAGTAAAAATAAAATAAACTGCACATTAATGCCATAGAATAAAGAATAAATATTGTCTAATCTTATTACTTAATCAAACCTTATCTACTTATATTAGGTTATAATTTCAATTAGCGGAACTTTTTAGAAAAGAACTCGTGAATTGTATTGTTAAATATATAAAATTATTTACGATAAGAAAATAGTCTGTACGATAACTCGTCAAAGTCATTAAGATAAAACAAATCAATGTGATTATCAGTGTTTAGGGAAGAACCAGAATGACTGTTCGGTAACTACCCCTGATGTCTGAATCCAATCTCCACCCACTCATGAGCCTTTAGATCATACTTGAGGTTATGCATATCATTATGTGACTGGGTGGCGCAGTTGGTTTGTCGTCGTCCTTCTGAGCCCAAGTCTGCGGGTTCAATCCCTGGCCCAGACACCGGATTTTCGGGATGTAGAAAATACTCAGCGCCCATGCCGTATAATTATGCGGCATGTAAAAGATCCCTGGAGTGCCTTATTGGCTCTTGGCATTTCTGGCAAAATTAAATTCCTAGTGCACTTTAGCATCCAAATAGTCTCGGTGCTGCCATCTAGTGTGGCAGAAACTAGACGTCCACATTAACATGACCATCGGTATCTCACCCATTGTGGTGGTCCTGAAAGAGTGGATATCACTTCTAGAGAGCACACTAGGTCTGCTTATTGGCAAGACCGATTGTGCAGCTCATTGGAGGAAAAGAAAACATATCATTATTGCAATTGAATATATTATTTTGGCATAAACATTAATTACCATTTATAACGAAGCAGATAAATTTATTGGAATCCCAGCAAATTTTTTTATGGCAACTCAAATTAGACCAATAGAACATTTTTATTAGTTGCAATATATGTAACACAAAATTTTTTTTTAGTGCTGTGATTGAACATACTAATAGAGTAATATTCTTAGAAGACGATGATGTAGCAGCTGTTAAAGATGGAAGTAAGAATTCAGCTTCTGTGAAAGTAGATTTTGTTTCCTTAAAATAGATTTTTTTAAATGTTTACTTTTTAATTTTAGATCTGACTATACACAGAATGAAGCGTACACTTGATGAGTCAACTGCAAGAGAAATTATTACTCTTAAGATGGCAATTCAAGAAATAATGAAAGGTTTGTTTCTAACCTAATTGTTCAAGTATTGAAAAATATAAGAAAAATATCCTTGAAGGTCATTGAAAAGTCCTTTTATTTTATTTTTAAACTGAGTGGGAACTCTGGGGAAAAAGCTAGGAAGCCTAAACTAGCTTAATGGTCTATTGGCACATAACTAGTATTAAGTTTGAGAAAATGAACTCAATGTTTGTTTCATTTTCACAGCCAGAGTATCATTATTGAACTTTTTTTTAAGAAAAAAATAGTATTACTAGAATAGATGTGAGAAAAAGGCGATATAAACTTTATATTCTTAAAATTATTTCTTGATTGTGCATAAATCTTATTTTCCTAAGCTGGGTAAAATAAGTTTTTATTACTTTAATACTAGCTGCTTAATATAAATAACTTTTTAAAGAAAGAACAGATGCTTAATTTAAATTTTTTTTTGCTTAAAATTTTTGGGTTAACTTACAATAATGGAGTTAAATTCTTTTGCTAATTTTTATCATCCTGAATTTCTCACAACCCTAATATATTTTTTAATGATTTAGCTTGATCTAATAAAAATTTTTGCATAATCATACCTTGATTAGATTACAATAATTATCTGATGTTAAATCATTTTTTTTACAATTATATAGATGTATCATATTTATCTGTGAAAAAAAGTTTCATATTGTATTTTGTGCAAATTCTGACAAGTTTTTAGGTATAAAGCCTATTACAAATAACAAACAAAATATTTAATAAAGTTAAGAATTATCTCCAGGTTTTTTTGCTGTACCTCATAGTGATTTGTCTGGTGTTTATACTTTAAAGTTTTCCTTCTGAGACTGTTTTCATTTTCTTGTGCAGGCTTACCCAGTTTCCAAAACTTGGATGATAATTTTGGCTCAGGATCATATATAGAAATAGTCTCACAATGTATATTTTTCAGGAAACATTAGAAACACAGCTAAAATGTGATTTCTCATTAATTTATTGCTTTAATTTAAAAAAATTTCACTGTTGCAAAATTACTGCTCTGGAAAAATTTCTCTTCAGGTCATAACTTTAATGAAATATTCTTAGACTGTCAAACTGTATTTTAAGTTTATCAGACAAGTCAAAGTTAAAATATTTTACGTCAAACATTTTTTAAATTATCTATTGTGATTTTAATAAATTAAAATTGGGCAAGCTTTCTTTTAATATACTTTTAAATAATGCATTTCTTTTAGGCAACTATAGCTCCTTCATGCAGAAGGAAATATTTGAGCAACCAGAATCTGTGATTAACACAATGAGAGGTCGTGTCAACCTAGAAGCTGAAACAGTTGTGCTCGGAGGCATAAAGGATTACATACCCGAAATCAAACGATGCAGGAGACTTCTTCTGATTGGATGCGGTACCAGCTATCATAGTGCTGTTGCTGTAAGTACTGTTTGCAAAAATATACTGCTTGGCAAAAAACCCACCACATTTCAAATCTCATTTAAAGTGTTATGCAAGTCATATTTAGTTTAGTGGAGTTATAAAATGTAAGATTTTAGATCCGATTTAATTACTTATCCCTCTGGATGGCCGTATTCAAGCTCTATAGCAAAATTACCTGTGAGCAATGGCACGTCACTGACGGTCAGAGACAAGCTAAGGAGCTGAATTCTCACTGTCCTGGTGTACATCAAAAAGAGCTTTTAAAGCTTAATAGAAACAATTTGAGGAAGATCATTGGTCTTCTTACTGGACACTGCATCCTCAGGAGACACCTATACATAATGGGAATTGAATCTAATTCTTTGTCGAGGTTATAATTTTTAAGAGGAGACATCACGACATATACTTAGTGATTGTGACGTCTATTCTTAAAGATTTGAGCATATGGGACATCATTGCATTAAGACTTGAGGACTGCAAGATGTTTCTGTAAGGTGTTTGCTGAATTTTATTTCAGCTATATGGCTTTCTTGCTAATCATGATTTAGGGTTTGGGTACAATAGACCTCTGGTCGATGTGCCTTGCTCTTGGAGCTGGCCAACCTCTAAGTCTATGGGTATGGCTTGTATATACCTAACTATTTTATTTACTCAAGTGATTAATGCAAATAAATGTAAAGATATGCATACAAGATTACAAATTTTTTCTCTCATTATAATAGATATAGAGAAGAATCTAGTAAATTTCATATTTCCAAAAATTAGCTTGAAATATTTCTTATGTGCAATATCTGATAAATGTGACATTTAAAACCCATTTTGGAAATTATACTTTTTTTTTTCAATGTTAGAATTTTTTACATTTTATTTGTTTGAAGTTGCTTGTACATTTTATTGTAGACATTAAATGCATGGCATTAAAAAAACTTACACAACGAAATAGTGTTATTTAAGTTTAAGCTTGAACCTAGAAAACAAAATCTGAATGACCTGTAAAATAATTTACCACGGTAACTATTTTTTTCTTTTGTAAAAATAATTAAATTTTGAAAGGCAAATATTGTGAACCATAGGTTGTGCATCTTTTTGCATAGCATTTTAATAAAATTCTCGGTTACGTATCTTCAAGATAAAATTAAGAAAACATTTTAAATACACCTTTCTTTTTGTCCTTCCTCGAACTAATATGATATGTTTATTTTTAGACCCGTCAAATTCTGGAGGAATTGACAGAATTGCCAGTGATGATTGAACTTGCAAGTGATTTCCTTGACAGAAATACCCCTATTTTTAGGGATGATGTATGCTTCTTCATATCTCAATCCGGTGGGTATTCATTATAGATTTTTAGATAGAAAGAAATTTTTGTAATACTCAGTGAGATTAATAATCAAATGTACAAGATGTGATTCAGTCATTATCTGTAATTTTTTAAGGTCTCTCACTTAGATCTTTTAGCATTTATTTTAATTTCACTTATCTATGATTTGTTACACCAACCTTTTTACTTTTCATTTGTCAATTTGTCCGTAAAATATAAATTTGATTTGAAAATGAAGGTGAATTTTTTTTATTGCAAGCCCACCTGTTTCTGTGACTTAAGTTTTGAAATTTAGAAAAAACTGAAACTTTAATTTATTTTTTCATCACAGAAACTCAAAAGAATAAATTTCTCATTTTGTTCAAAAATTTGAAGTAATTCAATACTATTTAATAAATCCTAGCATGATCTTAAATGTGAAGAATTGAACGCTTATAAATATCACTTGACTTGTTTGTTCTAACAGGACTAAATGCATGTTGCTAAAACATGTTCTATTAATCACTTCAATTTTGTATATGCTAGAGAGTAGAAACTAATTGCTGATTCAAAGGATCAGTAAGTAAAATTTTAATTGTCTGTTCAGGTCTCTATTTTTTAATACAATAATTTATAGTTTATTTAGTCAGTTATTCAATATCGATGTTTTGTGACTACTTTTTAATTAAAGTGTTTAAAAAAAACTTTCAAAAGATTCTGGCTAACAAAAAAAGAGATTACACACAAATGGAAACTGTATATTAACAGATTCTTCAATAATCAATCGACATTTCGAACCCGGCATTTTTTAACTTCTGCTGCCAGTCTTTAACTTCTGGCATTTCATCTTAAAAATCCAAATTTCTGTTTATCCGACATATGCGCAAAGCAGAAACTGAAATGTCTTGTTCAAAATTTCCACTGTAAACCTAATCAGCATACCAACCCTTTACACTAAATTGACTATTTTAGGGTGGTTCAATTTAGTGTTCTCTGGTCACCATTAGTCTCTAGACTTTGATGTATAATTAGCTTTTTCTTTTATTGCAAGTTACTGTATCACATTAAAACCCTAATGCACTTTATTTGATTAGTATTACCAGAAAATATGGCTAATTGTGTTACTGATCATGTTTCCAGCTATTCATATTTGAGAATCTAAATTCAAACGCTTAAGTTAACTTCAAATGAGTTTTTTCCCACCTGGAAAATAGGGATAAGTCATGGAATTTGGAAATAGTTAGTTTGATTTGACAAATGCTAAGAATACTATCAACTACTAAGTAACTAAAATGTTTCTCACCAAACAAATTACCTACTCAAAATTTTGTTTTTGCCCATTTGGCAAGGAGCTGAATTTCACAAAGCCATAGCATATCATAGTATTGTGTAGGAGTGCACAACCTATGGCCTGAGGGACAAATGCGGGCTGCCGCCTGTTCATGTGCGACCCGCCGGAACTTCTGGAAGGAATAAAAAACTTCAGTTTGGTCTTTGTTTAAACATTATAAATTTTCTTTTATTAAAATATTTAGTTCAAATTTATATTACTCTTCAAAATGAGTTTTTTTAGTTTTGTTTTGCACTTTTATTCTGTAAGCTTCTTTTTCGTTAAAATTTATATCCTACTCAATTAAAAGTATTAATTTTTTGCAAATATGTTAAGTTTACTGATAAAAATATTTGGTGCTTAAAACACTAATGTTTAGATAAAAATTATCATAGTTGCCGCTAACGTGACTAAATATGCGTGCAGCCCTTCATTAATCTGCATGCTGTGCAAGTGGCCCTTCTCTCAAAAAAGCTGTGCACCCCTAGTATTGTGACTTAAAAAACTTTCAACTGAAAGGTTATTTGCTAGAATTCAGAACAAATTGAAGGTAAACAAATAAACTTTCCAAGGTACTATATTCTTATTTTTGATTTAAGAAATTTATTGATGTTTTATAATCTCTTATAAATTTTATTAATTTTCTAAATCCTCTATCACATGGACTTGATAAATAAATTTTATTTTACTGTTTATGAATGAACAGTCTAGGAACAATATTTTTCAATATTTTAAACTTTGTGAAATTTACTGAATGTTTAAGAGAAACTGAGCAAATTATATTTTTATATTAAAGGGGAGACAGCTGATACATTGAATGCTCTTCGTTATTGTAAGCAGCGTGGTGCTTTAATTGTTGGAGTCACCAATACTGTTGGCAGTAGTATTTGCAGAGAAAGTCATTGTGGAATCCATATCAATGCAGGTCCAGAAATTGGTGTAGCCAGTACTAAAGTAATTCTCTTTTGTAATAACTCTTGAAACATCTTTAGACTATTGCTATTTTATTAAAAGCAATTTTTTTTGTGTATTTTATGCTAAAGATTTCGAAATCCAAAATTTTTTCTGCTTATTAATTTTTTTCTTAAGACAAAATTTTTAACTGTTGTAAAAAAATTTTACTTTTTAAATATTTGATTTAGTATTTTTAGATAATCCCCAAACAAAGTATTTTCTAAGTATCTATTTTTTCCTACTTTATTAGAACTACTAAATTTTCTCATTTGTTTACTTTTTCTCAAACATGTTAAATTCATTTCAATATTCTAAAACCATTTTAAAGTAATTTCTACTAAAACTGCAGTTGATGAGTAAGATTTTACAAATGTTTTCTTGTTTGGGGGGAAAATATTTAAAATTTATGTAACAGAAAACACATTTAAAGTTTTTGTACAAATGAATTATTTTAAAACATTTATAATTTATTGTGCTATTTCTAATTTTTAAAAGCTAAATTTTTTTTAGGCTTACACAAGTCAGTTTTTATCTTTAGTGATGTTTGCTTTGGTTATGTCCGAAGATCGTATTTCTATGCTTTCCAGGAGAAGTGAAATTATAAGAGGTCTTAAGAGTCTCCCAGGTAATTTAAACTTCATTTTATTTAAGTTTGAATATATTGTTGAACTTTCATTTTATTTTTATAACTGTCAAACTGCCGTCCCAATTTTGAGTTCCAATGTTCAACTCCGTATTCTTGTAATTTTGAACTTGATCTAGAAGACAAGGAATTTTGCCTTTGTGGAGAACTTTTTGATGCAACTAATCCACATTTGCATTACATGAAGAAGAAAATCACAAAAACCTGCCACAGTTAGGTTGACGGCAAGAGGACTCTAACCCATGATCTGTCTACCACTGAGGATATTTTTTCTTCAACACTGTAGTCCGTGTGAGTTGGGTGCAAAATTAGTTTCGACCAGCCATCGCTGTTATTAGAGCCCGGTTCTTCTATTGTAAGGTGAATGCTCTGTCCTCTGAGCCACTACGGCTCAAACTTTTGTATTCTAAAAACTTAGTTGTCCACAATTGTGTACCTTTACCGAGTTGCCATGATCTGGAAATTTTTGACACTTTCTCTGCGAATTCTGCTCCTGCATGTTACAAAATTCTTGTTGGTAGTTTGTGTCAATAAAACTGATCAAATGGTAGCAAGCTGTATATTATGTTATCACTTTTTTTACATAAAATATTTATTTTCTCTCAATAAAAAAAACATTGTTCATTGGAATAAACTTATCACGAATTGGGAAGTCAAAAATGGTTGCTAAAGAAATAAATCTTAACTGATTTTATTTTTATTGAAAACCAATTTTCAATTAGATGCAGAATAATGACCAGACTTTAGGTAGCAGTGAGCATATTAAGTGGTGGAAAGCTTTTTAAGCTTTTAAAAAAATATTTCAATTGTAATTTATTCAGTTAGGACTGGAATGTTTGTGTATTGCTTAAGTGGAAGCTCAATTCAAGCGCTTTTCTTTTTGCTGTGTACCTTTTGAGGAAACTTAACTATTTTTTATTTTTGTTTACCTTGTCAAGGCAACTGTTTCAATATGATTTGGTTTAACATTAGTGTACAGTGCGCAAAAAACACCTTTAATAACTTTTAATCTAATGATTGAATCTTTACATTTTAGGACTATCTTAATGATTTGAGGAGAGGGCTTCAAATATGCTATTTGAGATGTGATGGTTCAGGGGATAGAGCGTTGGTCTTCCAATGAGGCGAGCCGGGTTAGAATCCCAGTCTATGCGAATTCCGCATCCAGCTGGCACCGGCCACAGTGCTAACGTGAAATATCCTCCGTGGTAGACGGATCATGGCTTAGTCCCCTTGCAGTCAGGCTAACCCTGGGAGGTTTCCATGTAACGAAAATGTGGGTTAACTCCATCAAAAAGTCCTCCACGAAGGCAAATTTCTCCCAATATTCGATCCAGGAGTTCCCTTGTCTACTGGATTGGGTTCAAAATGACAAGGCTTTGGAGTTGAACATTAGTAGACGTAAACCCATAAAAATTGGATCAGCTGTTCAACGACTGTTATGAAATATAAAGTAAAATATGCTATTTATTGCAGGTGATATTTTAAGTTACAAAATCAAACTGAAAAAGGTACTTTCTCTGAATGAATATACCTTTTTGTTAAATGAATTCAGATTTATGATATAGCGGTAGAATAATTAAAATATAGGGGGTAGCCATAATCTGAGAAGTATGGTACTAATAGTTTGGTCAAGATAGTGATCTAAAGTTTGGCCCCCTAATTTTAATTTTTGAGTATTTCTCAGTTTTTAAGCAAATTAAAAAATCTTTGCATGCATGTACATGATTATGAAATTCATTTATCCAAAGGTGAATCCATGCAAAATATAACTATACTGAATATTTTATTTGTCTTAAAATTTTTTTAATTGTAAGGTATGTAATTATTTAAATAAAAAGTATCTAATTTTACATGGCAAAATATAAAATTTGAGCAAATTTAGCCAAATAGTTCTGGAGAAACCTTATTTTAAAAATAAGACTTTTTGAAAATCATTTCTCAGGAACTATTAAACAGATTTCGTTCAAAATTTGTATTTTGCCATTTAAAGTTAGATACTTCAAAATGACGTAAAAAATGTATACCAATGTATTCAAAAATATTTTTCAATTCTGTTAAAAAGCTCTTGAGATGACGAGGCACAAAAAATAAAATTTACGTTAGGAGATCCAAACTTTGGATCACTCTCCTGACCAAACTATTAAGACCATATTTCCCAGTTTGCAGAAAAAAGGTATGTTTATTCATTGAAAGTACATTCTTATGTCTGATTTCTTAATTTAAAATATTGTCTTCGCCAATTAACATATTTGGAGTCACCCATTTAAACCATTCAGGTTGAGGCCCAGACTGTGAAGATCTGACCATTAGATCAAAAATTATTCAGGGTGTTGTCAGTTTTTTCCCCCTCACTGTGCATGCATAGAAGAGATAAAAGGCTTAAATTTGATATTTATTCGAATTCTGTAATTGTCTAGTATAATATCCAGTTCAAAACTTGGAAATATTTTAAATAAATCTTGCATCCAAAAATGTCTTACATAATTTGATACTTTAATTATCACTTTTTAAAATTTTAGATCATATTAAGGAAGTTTTGAAATTGGATGAAGATATCAAAAAAATATCTGAAGAGTTGTTTCATCAAAAATCTGTATTGGTTATGGGTAGAGGCTACAACCATGCCACTTGTCTTGAAGGAGCATTGGTATGTACAAGATTTTAATCTCATATTAAATCATTGGAAAAAAATTGTTTGTAAATTTTCCAGTTTCATATTTGTGTGCAGAAACAATTAATACAGTTTTTGTCAGCCATTTTTCAATGTCAAAAAAGGAAGCCTTAAGTTTGTATGCAGACATTTTCTTTAACAGAATCTATTTGTTAAAGCTTAAAACTTATCTAATAAAGTTAAAATAGGTGTTTATTTATTTTGCTATCCTAAAATTTACTGAACTTTTTGTGTTCTCTTAAATAGGTAAATAAAATTTCCAGCTTTTTGAGAATAAATGCAAAAAGTCTAATTTGTCCGAACTATAATGCTAGAGAACTTTTATTGATGCCCACCGAAATGGCAACAATCTCCCACAGTTTGAGCTCCACACTATGGCAAAAAACTTAATCATTTAAATTATTTATTGATCTCTTATATTTTTAAATGACTTTATTAACTTTATCATAATTTGGTCAGTTGTTTTCTCTAGAATGTTGTGAAGATTTTGTTTTAAAAAAATGTTTATAGAAAATGAGAAGTTTTGCCTAAATTGTTCAGAATCTTTTGCATTGGAAATGCTGTGTTTGAAATTTGTAAGTTACATACATTTGAATTTAACTGTGTTAACACTCAAATGAATCCTTTGTTATTTCAGAAAATAAAAGAATTAACGTACATGCACTCTGAAGGTATTTTAGCTGGTGAATTGAAACATGGACCTTTAGCCTTAATTGATGATGCCATGCCAGTTATTATGGTTGTAACAAAAGATCCAGTGTATTCAAAATGCATGAATGCATTGCAACAAGTGAGTCATTCATTTTTACAATATTCATGCTTGGAAGTTTTTTAATAAATGAAATTTTAACATGAATGCTTTTACAGGTGATAGCTCGTGGAGGAAGACCTGTGATAATTTGTGAGAGGGGTGATACTGAAACTCAGTCGCACGCTTTCAAATTTTTAGAAGTGCCTCATGCAGTTGACTGTCTTCAAGGAATTTTGACTGTTATACCTATGCAATTGCTTTCTTATCATATTGCTGTTTTGAGAGGATGCAATGTAAGTATTTTTAAATTAAAGTGCTTTAATAGAATTCTTAATTGAACAATTTTCTCGATAGAACTCCTCTTTTTAACTTAAGTTAAATAAGAGTTCTATGATATTGTCAGTTTTGTACCTGTGGTATAAATAGTTCTTAATTGTACTTTGTTTTTCCCCTTTTTCCAGTTTTGCTTCAAGAATGTTTAATTCAAAAATATTTCTCCTATTTTAAAATTTGTTTAAAACTAAAAGCTCCATTATGGACTTATGTATATTTTTACTATATAGTGTAAGTTTGTTATAAGAATGAAAAAAGTCTGAGATTAAGGGGTTAATATAAATCTTACTGTAATGTATTTTGAATTTATGGTTTTGAGTGCTAAGATGGCTTAAAAGATAGTGCTAAAGAGGCGATGTAGGTCTTTGTCCCTGTGATGGTGGGTAAATTCATAAGATGTGTCCAGCTGTTATAGATTCCAAGCTCTTATCAATCCCAAGTGGTAGACAGATCATGGGTTGCTATGAAATTAATTGTGAGAAATTTTTGTGATTTTTCTCTTAATGTAATGCAAATGAGTTTAGTTAGGTCAGTAAGACCTCTATGAAGGAAAGATTAACCGAATGCCTGATCCAGGAGTTTCTTTGGCTTCTGGTTTGTGTTCAAAATTACAAAGTTATAGTAATTAATATTGATAGCTCAGCGATGGTAATAAAATTAAAAATTATGGGTTTAAAATTTTATGTTCATATTTCAATCTCTCCCAAGCATTTAAAGGATGGTTTTAACTTTTATTTTTAAAAAAAAATTTTATGTATTTATAAAACTTTTTTTAATTAAAGTTTGCATAAAATATTTATCATATGCAAATATTAGCTTTATAAAATGTATTGTAAATATATAAAGAAATTCAGCTTATGGTGAAGCTTTTCTATGAAATATAACCAAAAATTAACTCAATTCCTTAGTAAAAGGAACGGCCTTAGTTTAAAACAAGTTGTAACTATCAAAAAGTTAAAATTATGAGGTACCAAAAATAAAAGCATCAATTTCCAAAATTTCTCTATCTTTGTGCTAATTTGTTGAGCAAAATATTTTTCTGAAAATATACTGCTTTGCTTAAGATACTCTAAATTGTTATAAATTTAAAAGTAAAACTGTATATTTTTATCTTATATTTATTTTTATTTCAAGAACAAAGTAATGAAAATCATACTGCATATATTTTAAAATGAGGAGTTTAACTACTTTTTAAACTGTATATTGGTTGGTGTCGTATCCTCTATTGAATCATATCTCATGGTGTGCTTGAATAGTATTTGCTATCTCTATGGCATTACATGAATATAAATCTTCTTCTGTAGGGTAGTTTAAGAGGTGAAGGCCTGCAGCAACTGCAGGGCAGTTAATAATCTATGGTGTGAGTTCCACAGTAAGACAGTTGGCCCCTTTAGGCTTTCTAGGCATTTCAATCTTTCTAGTGTTAAATATTATGGTTTCAAGGAGTCCTATGGTGCACAATTTTTTATATAAATTTAAAAAATGCATATTAAATGAATAATTAAAAAGCAAATTTTATGTTGGTAAGCACTATTATATAGTTTGCTGGAGATAAATAATGAATTCCACTGAAATTGTTTTTAAAATAAATGTTTATTGTATATTTTCTCTATTCCAGGTTGATTGTCCTCGTAATTTAGCAAAATCTGTTACTGTTGAATAGGAAAATCCTTTTCCATCAAACATTCATCTAACAACTGGAAGATATTTTAAAATATTCAATTTAAAGCTGATTTGTTTTCAGTTCATAATTTATCTACATTTATTTTTAAAAAAATTGTAATTTTTATCGTTGTAAATATAGATTCACTTGTTGGAAAGCATTCATTTCACACTGAATTGCACTTTATGCACAATTATTGGAACAAAGCTACGGGGAATGTAAAAAGCATTTAATGCATTTTGTTTGTAAAGTTAAGAATTTTATTCTATTTTTTTTCTTTTTAACTTTGTGTAGCAGGGTTGTGAGTTTTTAAAATTTGTTTAAATTCACTGAAAAATGTTTAAAATTTTTACTCAATAAAAATTTTATCTTTTAAGTCTTGTATCTGTTTTTATTGTGTGGTTTTAGTTTTCTGAAGATTAATTTTTTGCCATCTTTAAAACCATAGGGATTTTTTAATTGAAAAGTAATTCCTTGACATAATTGGAGTTTAAAGCAAGATTAAAAATTTAATCTGGTAGTGGTAATTTTATTCTTACAAATTAGTCATTTTGTGTTAGTATTGTATAAAATCAATATATATTTCTCTTGCATGGTGACAGCCCTCATTTATTGGCAGCGTTGGCAACAAAGAATTGAAATATCAAGCGTGTAAGCTGTCATAAGCTCAAAGTACCTGTTTACAAATTTCGGAATGAATTTTGCTCACATGGTCAATGAAAAGCTGAAACAATCTAAGCTATAAATTTGGATGAATCTAAAGGTTAAAAGCGAATAGCTCATATCATATATAGAAGTGTTGTATATTATATCTTAGTTATACTTATGCCTCAACAACTTTATTCATTGAAAAATGAGTATTTGATATTAGTGATTTTACGCTTTCTAAGTAACTTAAATTTATTTAACTTAGCTGCGAGCATGTTTGCAACGCAAACCAAATGAGATAGAATAACAATCTTCAGGTGTCAGCAAACCTAAATATGGATTAAGTTTTTTTTAAAGAATCAGCATTGTTAAGTTTTTTAATACTTAAATTGTAATTTAAATTATTTAATTTAAGTTGGATATTTGAAATGTTTAACTTTCAATTTTTTAATTAAAAATACAACTTTCTACTATGATCCATGTAGTTTTTTTATGCATACGAGAAGCTACTCACTGATAGATATAAATCAACATTGTTGTTTTCAAAGTAAAATTTAAAGGGGGGAAACAAATCTATGTTTATCGACATTTGTTTTGTAGGGATTTGTAATACTAATGGTTTCATTGTGAAAAGATTTAGAATTGATTAAGATTTTAGAGGTGTAATTTTTTTTCTTGTAATCTTTAAGTTTACTATATAATGGTGAATATAATAAAAATGCTTTATTTTTCTTTTACATAATTAGTAAGAATTTTTCACACTAGTGAGAACTTTAATTGTTGTAATTTAGCTTTACGGAAAATATTTAGCTTGAAAGAAAATTTTCTAGTTTATTTCCACATTTAAATTTTAAAAAATGTAAAACTAGTTTGAATTAGTTACTAAAATTGATAATGGTAGATTTCTAAACCATGGTTTCAAAGATTTAATTTACAATGCTATTATTTCTATATAAGTGAAATGACAATTTCAAAAGTTTCACGGAGATTAATATTATTCAATAAGCAATTAGCTGAAAGATCGCTATAGTTATTGATAATTGCTTTGTATGGAGATTGCTGCAGCTGAATTGAAGGGTCAATATTTTTATAACTAAATTTGTTTACTTGTTCCCACTTTAAGTCTAAGTTGATCATCATTACGGGTATGTTAGCATTGTATAAAATCAATATATATTTCTCGAACATGGCTACAAAATCCTAGTTTATTTTTCGCTTTGGCAACAAAGAATTTAAATATCAAGTGTGTAAGCTGTCATAAGCCTAAACGTGTGTATTTACAAATTTCTGAACGAATTTTTTTCGCATGGTCAACGAAAAGCTGAAATAAACTGACCTAATAATTTTAATGAAACTAAAGGTTAAAAGCGAATAGCTCATACCAAAGAAGTGTTGAATATTATGTTTTAATTATACTTAAGCCTTAATAATTTTATTCATTGATTTAATTTATATTTCCTAATTTTTATGATTAAATAATAAGCCAGGAATTTTTATTGTGTTTAAAATGCTACATGGACCTTCTTTCTTACTTTTTAACAATTTTATTTATTTTGGCATTTGATAAAATTAATGACTGTTTAGCTATGCGTTTTTTTATTATAGGAGTTGCACAAGTCTTGTCTTATGCCATTAACCTGTAAACATCCAGCTAGATGCTGTCCTATGGTTATATTGTTTTGTAAATTTAGCTGGATTCTACTTTGTTTTTTACTGAAAGAAATTTAATGCTACATCAAATTCAAATGTAACAAGCAATCATTAGCCCTTGACAGTGTTTATAACAATATCTGGATCAAAATTTGTTTTTAAATTCATTGCGAGAAAACTTTGCTCGAAAATTTTAAAGATTTAAATTGACTCAAAATCGTGAATGCGTACTTCCTAATAATCACATTTCTTTTTTTTAAATTCTAAAAGCTATTGACAATATTTCTGAAATTACAAGAACAAAATTTAAAAATTCATAATAGGCTTTAAAAAAATTCGAATTCATATTTTTATGTACTTAGACAGAATCTTAATGATACTGAAGTATATTTTAATTCAAAGGGTAGTAATTTTTTCAATTTGTGAATTGACTCAACCCTATACAAAATCGTGCCTTCTCTGAATAATTTCTTTACTTAAAAAAAGGATATTGTGATCTGGAGAATCTGTTCCCTAAAGCATAGAACATCACAGTTAATTTTAATACTAAAGAACTGAACGTATACTCTTTTTCAAAATTGGCACTGTAAATTATTCAAGCTTCTTTAATGTTATTAATACTCTTAAAATGAATAACAAGCGATTTTAACCTCCTTAATGGTCACATAATTTTGAAGAAAACTTATAAAAGTGCCTATTTTTTTAATCAAGAAAATTGTGTTAAGCTATATAAGAGTATGTATAATCTATGCATTTTTAATCTCAGCTAATTTTTAACTTACATGTTTGAATGTTGTCATCCAAAGTAAGCTATCTCTAAGCACATTACAAATAATTTGGCATTTCCATCTGGTTTATAGATTGATAACATAAACATTGCTCCAGGAAAAAGGATTTTACTTATTTTTGGCGGGTTACTTTTGTACACTATCCTGGAAATATCACGGGCACGGGAAATAGAGGATGTATGGAGGTTTAAACAAGTGAGTATAATATAATCAATATACCCGTGAAAAAAAGCTTGTATGTAATTAGGTACTTGCAAGTAATCACATAGTTGTGTCGAATCCACATGAGTATCCGATTGATTTAAAATTAATGAAACATGATGAGGGTCGCAAAGATGGAGTTGGTGCACTGATCAAACAAGACTTCCATATTTGCACGTTTAATTTTGGTGTAACATAGCTGCATCTGATTTTCGTGTTATTTAATCTGTACTTTCAATAATATTCATTACGAATTCTATCCTTTGTGGGAGTCAGTTCAACTAAAAAGCTGTAGAAAGTTTTTCGATTATTAAACGCAGTGTTTGCGGAGAACTTATTATATTGTTCTACCGTTCATCATTAGTTTTATAAAAATCGGAGCATTTTTTAGCACATGGTCCCCAAAGTAGGTACTAACGCCTTCTCCCCCCCCCCTGCATTAGTGATGAAGACTTGCGAAGGCGCTTGCAAATTTATAGGTATTTGAGAGGTATTAAAAAATTATAGATTAAAATAGATTTGAGTACACATTAAAAATCATTGGTATTGAAAAGTTAATTACATTTTTCAATCAAAACATAATATTTATTACTTATATGTTATGTTATTTGTTAAAGTGTTGGTCTTAAAATGCTTTTAAACGATATAAAAAAAAAAAAAAAAAAAATTTATATTCACTTTAGGATTTTAACGTGTGTCACGATCTTCAGATTAATTTGAAAATTTTATGCGTCTAAGTTTTTTCTGGAAAAAATTATATATTCCTAAACTTCACTAAACATGCATTTCTTAGGTATTTTTCGGTCAGCCGCGGGTGCAAGGAAATTCAACTATTTTTCTTTTTTTTCCCCTTTTTTATGTTATTTAATATTTTGTGTGCGTCCATTTTGTTCAGTGTTTTAAAAAATGAAATAAAATAAAAAATTGCAAAAATTAAAAAAAAAAAAAATTATCACGGATCCACATTTTTTGGCAACTTTTCGCTTGCGCTTGACTTACGGAATCGTAGTAGTAGATACTTTTAATTCATCTTTTCTCACTTTTTACTTACTTTATGGAGAAGTTTTAAATAAATTTTTAATTTATTTGTATGATTTATGCGTTTTTACCTTTGTTGAATAATTTAAAGGTATAGTATCAAAATCTGATTAGCTTTGGATTTTCTATTGTTAACTTATAAAATATAACTTACTCATTTATTTCTGAAATAAGTTTCTCTCTATATATTTGTTTTACTAAAATTGCAGGTAATAGATTCCTAATCAATTTCATTACATTTCGAAGCCATATCACTTATTTCAAATTTTTTATAATATCAAAGAAAAAGATATCTTCAAAGTGATATGTTTAATTTACTTAGCCGTGGTGGCTCAGGGGATACAGCGTTCGCCTTGCGATGAGATGAACCGGATTCGAATCCCAGCGATGGCTGGTCGATGTGAATTCCGCACCCGGCTTGCACCGACCACAGTGCTAACGTGAAATATCCTCATTGTTCGACTGATCATGGGGTAGAGTCCTCTTGAAGTCAGACTAACCGTAGGAGGTTTTCGTGGTTTTCATCTCCATTGTAACGCAAATGCGGGTTAGTTTCCTCAAAAAGTCCTCCACGAAGGCAACATTTGTACCAATATTTGATCCTGGAGTTCCCTTATCTTCTGGATTGGGTTCAAAATTACAAGACTGCGGCGTTGACCATTAGTAGCCGTAAACTCAAAATTGGATCGGCTGTTCAACAATTATAAAATGAAAGGATAAAACGTACTTTTTTCCGAATACTTAAAAATTTTAAATGTAAGTTATTTTATCAAAACTAGTGATTTTTTTAACATAAATACATTGATCATTTTCGACATATTTTAAAGGCCGGATTTTAAAAGTGTTTCTTACCAAAAGATTATAAGACTTCGGATAACAGTGTCTTATTATTTATTGGTATGGGGGCGTTGAGAATTTTTCAACTTGCAAAATGGGCGAATAAGATAAGGCTGGGATTTGGCGTAATGTTCGAATTATGCAAACTATTGGGTCATCCAAACTAGAATAATTAAGTCCAGCATCACTTAACACACCTTGAGGCTATAATTAACTGAAAAGTGTGTTTCATTATTTTGCATGACCATTTCAGAAATGAAATCACGCACTTAGGAAATACCAAAAAGAGATGTTTACTTGCGTGACGTCGAACACTACATTCACACAAACTCTGACATACCATCACACTTCAAGAATGCTAGTTCTATTTTAGATTGTAATTATACTCAAGGTTAAAATATTTCCGCTATTCTGGCTTTAATTTGAGATGCTTTTTGCCAACAATAGAAATAAAAAACGAATTATCTCGAAACGAATTATAATTTTTTCGTCGAGATTTATATTTACTTTTAAAACACAAAATGGAGCTCTCGAATTTGCTTACAGTTGTCATTTTTTGCTCCTAATAAACAATCCAACGGAATTTTACTCGTTATTAATCTTAGAGATTTTCCTCTTGGCTGTAGTTCGTTGCAAATATAATTAGGAATTTAATTCTTTTAAAATTTGTTACCTGAATTTTTTAAAAAAAGGCAAAAATCATGTTTTACTTTATTTAAAAAAAAATGCCAAACAAAAGAGCAGGTCGTTAAAAGCCGTTGGATTGGAAAATTGCTTCCAGGCCTGAGAGGCCCCAAGTATAATTTTTTCCATAAAACGCTTCGATAATTGTTTTTTGAACTATACAAGAAAATAAGAAATAAATTTTAGTTAGAAATGATGCTTGAAATATTATATTTCAAAAATGCATACTAAATTATGTAAACTCTTATATTAAAAAACAAATATTTGAATTGTACAACAGAATTTTCAGTAAACAAAATTTACTATTTAAAATAAGTGAGCATGGAGTAAATTAAACTTTCAACGAAAATTCGACTCATATCTTCTGAAAATGATAGTTTGTGATTTGTTCTTCTTTAGTCTCGCTAAAATAAAATATTTTTCCTTTTTATTCAACGCGAAAAACGAAGTTTTTAGAATTTTATAACTTCTTGTTTTATAATTTGTTGCTTCATAAGTTAAGTTTTTAATTATAATTTATCCCAATTTTTTATTCACAATTTATTATTTGTGGGAATATTCACGTAATTCGAGTGTTCCCCTTTTTTTCCAGGTAAAGTATTGTGGCGTTTCATTTCCGCCATTTGTTACATGGATAACATACATGCAACAGATGCCACTCCAGGTGTCAACATGGAAATAATTGAATCCAGGGGTTAGTGAAACTCCAGAAAAAAAGGGGCCTATTCAGGGGACAAGCATAGAGTTGAAACATTATACTCCGGACAACAATCAATAAAATTAGACATATTCAGCATTTCTTTTTTTTTATTATTATTCTCAATTTTTTGTATAGAATTAGCAGTTATCAATACTGGTTAAAGATAACCAGACCACTTGGTACGTTCGAAATGTGAACCAGCAATAGGGTTAAAATGACTCGGCCTCGAAATTATCTAAAAACGAGCCCTTTTTTTGAAACAGATGGGACACGTGTCTCTATTATTCGGAATAATATTTGTACTAAGATATAGAATACAAAAAGAGCACTTTGAACAGAAAATTGTTTTATTAATTCATATTTAAAAATTTATCAATAGCTGATTTTGTAAATCAAAGAAACTTCAATGGTGAATAGCTGTTTCTCGCGAATCTAAATAACTACAAATAAGTATAAATTTGAAAAATTAATCTTAGAATTATTGATTAAATTAGTTAAAATTATTGAATTGGAAGTGAATTTGGAAAATTTTACCTTTAACGCAATAAAAGATATCAGTATTTTATGTTGTATTGCATAACCATAATTATTAAAATGCTAAATATAACATTTCCCCCTTATTTTGACCTAAATTTAAACAAAATAATGAAAAAAAAGTAAGAAAAATGTGTTTAATAAAATTCTGCGTCAATATTTATGTACTAAAGAAAAAATCTGGACATTTTGAAAAACACTAGGCAATTTTTATTGCAAATGAATAAAAAAAAATTTAATCTATTCTTATATTACTTTCTTAGAAAGTTTTAACAATTCCCTGTATCATTTTCTTGATGGAATACTGAACAACTCGTAATCGTTTGAGATCCATATATAGAAAATTTTAAAACAACTGTTGCAATTAAAAAATGACAAATATTAATTAGTTAATATTCCCTCAAACTAATGCTTAACTAAAATTTGTAATTGGATTAAAATCTTCGATAATATTATAATTTTTAAATAGGGCTTTGATAATCTTTAAACATAAAACTCAATAAATATGCAGCTTAACATTTTTGTTTGGATGATCTCTAAATTCAGCATTTAAAAATTTATTTTGTGACTACTGTATTGTTGAAAGAAATTTATCATTTTTAAAATCAAATCAAATAGACTGATCAATATTTGCGAAACTACAACTCCCCTAAGAAGATTTGTTAATACATTTGATGAAATAATAAGCATATGAAACCTTAATTACTCACCATAAAAATTGCAAATTTAGTATTGTTCCATGAGTTTTTCATGAAATGATTGAATCCCCCAAAAGTTTGAGAAAATGAATCCTGCAAGTAAAGGCTATATGCCTGAACCATATGTACAATGAGTGGACGATTCCTAAATTTGAATTGTCAAATTTTGGCGACTTTAAGGGGCATTATTAATCAAAATAAAATTAAAAGATGTTGGATCGTAAATCAAAATCTTTCAATTCTTCTAAAATTTAAAATTTGTATTTGTAGAAAATATGAATGTTCTGAATACACACAAAAATTAGGAGCATTAGAACGAAATATTTTTTGATCAGAACAATTACGGACTAATGAAAGTTATTAAATGCTATAGGAGAAAAACATTTATAAATGTAACTCATTTTAAGAATATTTTGTTTGGTAAATCAATATTTGCGAGCAATAAATTGCATCGCTTTGTATGGAGCATTTACTAAATAAGTCTTGAGCAAAATTAATTTTATTTTGTAGAAATGTTGAGGAAATATGGAGAGGTTAATTTTCAATGAGCGGATGTTACTTTTTTTTCACATGACTTGTAAAGCGTATTTCCGGATGTGTGTGTGGGGCTTCACCTTTCAGAGGGCACCCAACAACTGCAAGTGGTTGAAGGGAAAGGCTATAGAAAAGGGATCTCTAACAAGGAGGGAGAGGAATTCTATAAAAGGGGGATATCTCCCATAAAAGAAGAAAAAAAAATTTACTCAATAGTTGGAGTGCATTAGGGATCAAGAGGAATGGAGAAAAATAATGATTCCAAAAGTCCGTGAAAGCGAGATTGTTAAGGTTAAAGTTGGTTAATGTTGTTTAGATTATTAAAGAAAATCTTACATATTTTATTAATTTACCAAAAATATTTATATAAAGTTGCTAATAACTATTTTCTAGAACTATTATGATTGTGATAATCATAACTCTCACGAATTAGCACTGTGAAAAAGAAAATATTTAAATGCATGCAGGGCCTGATTATCACCTAGGCCCAATAGACATGGCCTAGGGCTCACAATTTCTGAGAGGCATCAAAAATTAGTAAAAACTCGAATGAAAGGTGGACAATCTTTGTGTTGGTTTAAGTTTAAGTACTAAATAAAAAATAATTACAGCTTACAGTAAAAAATGATTCAGCTAATCAGTAACTTTTAGCAAAAATCTCTGATTTCAATTGTTTGTGGTCACCAAACTATTTTTATTCTGACATAACATTGTTTTGTTGTTTAATATTTTGCTTTAATTTATAGATACGTAAACTTCAACTTAGAAAAACAATTTTTAACTGTCTGCTTTCAAAATTTCTTAGAATGTTTCTCTTGAATCATGCAGTTCAATAGATTCTTTTTCGTTATTCGGGCTACTCTTCAGTAATTTAACTTCAAAATATTTTGTATGGGACCCGGAAAATTTCGTGGGCCTTGGGCCTGAATTTGTCTTGACCGGTCCCTGAATACATGCACTAATTGCCAGTTTTCGGGAAAATATTCAGCGTTGATCAGTACAGTCTACTGTGTAGCCTTGTTGGCCAAAAATGATAATAAAATAGCAACAAATTATTTATGGGAATAACAAACTGATCATACAGATCTCTTAATATTTCATACAGATAAAAAATGAAAAAGAAAGATAAAACATTTTCTCTCGAACAGCGACGGATAAAAAGCTGTAAACCAGGCATTAGTAAAAAATTATTGTTCAATTTTACAGAAATAATGAAATGTAAAACCATTTCAAGTTTTCCCGTCAAGTTTGATTTATGAAATAAACCCTTTTAAATAAATTAATATCTATAACATAATCTATAAGTGACTCAGGGTTCATGTAATTAAAATTAAACACCAACATACATAAACACTTTTTTTATTATCAAATATATTTACAATGCAATATTATTTCTGAAATAGAAACTACTACATGTCCAGCTGCTTTTTCACAAACTTATAGTGTTGATTATTCCAAAATGTTTTGAAAGTACTCTTTCACTTTTAAACAGTCTGGCATTCAACATCTGATCCTTTTCAAATATTATATATGAGGATTTAAAATATATCACATTCCTCATCAGAACATCAGACGTCATTGCACAAGAGTTTTGAATTTAGCACCATAATCAATTCGTGATCATTTCTTATCATGACTATCATACTTTTTTACGTGATCAGGCCATAAAAATGTGAAGCAATAATGTCTTTATTAAATTGATTACATCATCTAATATGGCGTAGATTGATGGAGGAAGAGTTAAACCATCTTTAAAATAAATTGTCATACAGAACAAGTTTGAGAAAATACCAAATTTTAAATGCCCTTTTCTGGATGGATAAAAACATTACGCTGAATAAAAATAAGAAAAAAAAGGAAAAATGTGCTATTACTTTTTATTAACAAGACGCTCATAGTTGAAAATCTCAATGCTACGCTGATAAAAAATAAGAAAGAAAAGGAGAAATGTGCTATTACTTCTTATTAACAAACCACACTTAGTTGAAAATCTCAATGTTACGCTGAATAAAAATAAGAAAGAAAAGGAAAAATATGCTATTACTTCTTATTAACAAAACGCAGATAGTTGAAAAGCTCAATGTGACATTTAAAATGTCAATCTCAATGCGACAACACATTAAGTGACATTTTGATAGCATTTATCTTTTTAGATACAGAACACGTTAAGCGTATATTCGTAGAACTTTAATTTTATATTCCATGTCACAAAAGGACTGTTTTTAATGAAAAAGGAAATTTTGTTAAGTTTCCTGATGTTTCTATACATTTTAAAATCGAATTTCTTAAGTTAAATTATTCCACGAGGTCTCTTTCATTATAACACCGCAAAAGATAGTTCTTTAATACATAAGTAACGTTGTGATAACATTTAGTTTTCATTAGGAACATTTATCATTTCGCTACGATTAACAACGTAAAAAAATACGCTTACATTAAATTTTATACACTTTTTTAATAACAATCATTGAGCAGCTGACCCAATTTTGAGTTAACGACTACCAATGTTAACTCCGTAGTCAGCCGTGTTAATTTTGAATCAAATCCAGAAGATAAGAGAACTCCAGGATAAAGTATTGGGAGAAATTTGCCTTCATGGAGGACTTTTTGATGGAAATATCGACTTAAAAACGACAACAAACAATGATGAATGAAAAGCAATCAAGGAGGTTGGTGAGTGGAGCGAGCAGGGGACAAAACATTCTATTTTTATTGAAGATTATAGAATGATAAATAAAAAAGCATAATTTCAAAAAGTAACAACCCCAAAAAAAAAATTTAAGACGTTTTCGCTAATTGTATTTACTTATCAAATTATTATAAGTCCGAGACTGATTGAAATGTGAATAAGTAATTTGTAAACATACATTTTCTTCAACATTCTAAATAATTATTTCTTCTAAGTAATTTGTAAACATACATTTCCTTCGAAATAATTATTTCTACTAACTCCCGTCGTTCATTATTTAAGCTTTCATAAAACCATCAATCCAGAACAGGGATAAAAAGTATATATTCTTCAATTTTAGAGCTTTGGACATCAATTGTGATATATTATTTGATAGATTGATGAATGCTAGTGTTTACTTCCCGTTAAATAAAATAAAAATAATGGGCAACAATCATAAACGTCTTCCCTATCTGCCACATATTCTGAAATCATCGCTTACGTCACTACCCGAGACCCATTTAGAAATGACTATAATAAATTTTATGCTAATAGAACAGGAATTTATTATTTTTGTAAAGATCTCATTATAGATAAGAAAGGAAGAGGAAGTTGGAAAATTTATAAATTTACATATGAGTAAGGAAAATTTAAATTTATCATGGGATAATGATTTTGTTTTGTTGTTTACTGTAAATTTATGATGTCTGACACTTTGCTTTGAGTCTGAATTTATTTAAAATAGAGGGTAAATTTCAAATGAGAATTTTCGTTATTTCTAGAACAAGAGTCATGTTTGGCTAGATATCGCGCATCACATGTAATAAAAGGAATGTAAAAAAATGAAAGTGGTTCTTTATAGTGTTCTGATTGCATCCCTTATAAAATGTACGATTTTCTTAATATTGTACAATATTTTATGTATGTACTTAATATTGTACATACAAAAATATTGTACATTGATATATTTAACTGGAAAAACAGGCTACAGGCGCGCAGTAAAAAAGTAAATCATTGTGAACTATGTTTTAAATTTATGTTTTCATATAATAAGGAAATGGAATATGGATACTAATTAACACCTATTCTTAAAATCTATTTTGTTTTACAGGTTAAACGTATAATATCTATATAATTAAATAAAAAATATTCGATCTCATTTTATTTTGTATTGTTTGTATGAAAATAAATTTTAAAAAATAGCATTGAACAAATACATTCGTTAAAGAAAGGCATTTTAAATTTATGTTATTGGTATTTCTCAATTATTCATAAATGCAATTTTCAACATGTTTTTTCCCAATAATGGGTGGATTAACGATTCATTTCTAATGTAACAACTCATCATTAGATGTTCTTTGTTCTTTCGAGATTTTATTTTAATAAAATACTGCTCCCATTATTTATTGATCAGTTGTCTCTTTTTATAAAAAACAACACACAGTGTTCGGCCATTGATTTAGGAACTGATTTCTTCACCGGTCGGCACAAGTGTTGCCATTGAATATAACTTTTTCTTGTCATCCAGAGATACATTAGTCACGTGCTCAAAGAGGAAGGGAGAGGATATTTCCTTGGTACTCAATTGTTTTGGCTGGAAAAGAAAAAGAAAAAATTAGCCTCTATCATTCAAATAAAAATTGTCAGGATTTTTTTTTATTTAAATATCTTTAAAATAAATTTCGCTATAGCGTATGCAAACCTAATTATTTTCTTAAAACAAGATGTTGCGGGAGTGGGGAGCTTAGGGGCCCACATAACATCTGATTGTCCTAGACGCCGGCAAAAATGTTAAAAAACTACGTGTAAGATATGAACTGCGAGCGCATGCGTAAATCTCATTGTGCTTTCGCATATGAAAATCGTGTGCACTGAGAATACCTTATGTAGTTAAGTTAGACTCCAACCAAGACTTTCTAGAAGTACTCAGTACGGGTTACCATAAGTAAGAAATTTGATCCATTAGTAGTCCAAACGTAGTGACATCTTTCTTATTCACCTCCACTGCGCAGTTGCCCGAAGTAAAGATCGTAAAGACATGGTTCCCAGTAGACCTTAAGTCAAGCATCAATGGCTGCTGTCAGTAAGCGGATGGGTGACCACTTTGATCAGTCTATGTAGGGACCGAGAGTAAGCGGTACTGGTCCTCGTTAAGCTGTTCTACCGTAAAATGCTGGACTTCGTGCGCAGGTAGTCGGGCTACCAAAGCGGAGGAGCCATCCCCTCTTGCAGAATATCAAAATTGTGATGGCATGTCTTCGGATTCTCCTCGAGGATGTTTCCCAGACCGTCGTATATACCTACTAATCTACCTTTAACGTTTGCCTACCTATCTTATCAACCACTGCGCAGTTTATGTTAATATACGTTGGACAACTAAATTGATTCGTGTTGAGATCTTCTCTTCTAGGAGGTCCTTTCCTACTCAATGATGTTGAATGATGGCCGGTAGAAATATGAATTGAATGAAAATTATTTAAAATGTCTCCAGGTGTTTCCTGACTACCCAACAGATTTTGATGTTTTCAGTGCCAGCTTTTTCTCTAAGAATCTAATATAGAATAGTAAATGTTTTAGCATAAACAACGGGAAATCATTAATTTCGATGGCAATTAGCGTTTTTTTTTCTTTTTCTTCTTCTTTTTTTGTGTAATTTATTGACGATTCTAAAATAGGTACTCTTTTTTTACTTCTTTTTTTGTCAAGGATTCCAATGATATATATAAAAAGCCTTAATTATAGAACACTTTAAATATGCTTACATATCTGGGAACTTATAAAACAATAATACTATTGAAGAAAAAAAAACGAGTGCAGAAAATTGTTTTAATTTTAAGATATTGAATTCATACGTTACATGATTAAATTCAATTATATTCCTATTTAAAATCTGCATAAAAAGTAGTAGTTTTTGGTGCATTTTTGTTCGTTTAAGAGTTATGATAAAAACGATGCATAAAAGAAGAAGAAAAAAAATACGTGAATAACTTTCGATCTAATGACAGGATTTTCCCGTACTGCTATCTATAATTGCAATGATTTTATAACCTCAAACATACGACTTAATTAAAACAAACAATTTTTCAAATCACAAAATCAGACAAAAAATGCACTTTATTTGAATAAATATACATTTTCCTGATTTATTTGACCCCCAAATTATGGTTATTTGTTAAAGGGGTCGAAAATTTAACCACAATAACTTTAGTTTTACATTTTGCACTTGCTTATTACTGAATTTCATTTTTACATTTTTACGTCATTTTAATATGTAACTTTAAGTAGCAAAAATCAAAAAATTGAACTAGATCGGCCAAATACTTAAAAATATAAATTTGTAACATTTTAAGTTAAGCAATTCGACCGAATTATATTGGTGCGTGAAAATCCAACCATTAGAACAAAAGTGAAAACGATATGCATCCTGCTAAAACTTCAGAGAATTCCACTGTTTTCTCTATATAATACGATTGCATTCAATTTAGAGTAGATTAACACAAAGAACGCAGATATCCGTATTTAGCACTTTAAAACCTACATAAATACATTTTTTTTTTAAAAATCAGTTATAAAATTTATTTTTGTTCACTTCTGTAATTTAACAAAAGCATTCTAATATCATTGCTTACTCAGTTAACACTGTAAAAAAATGTTAATTATTAGAATTATCAAAAAATCGGATCATTTTTCAAACTCAACAGCGGGCAAATTTAAATCGAACTTAGTTTTAGTTTAAATTGAAAACAATATCGTGTAATCAAATTTAAGATAATATGGTTCAACTTAGTAACGAAGTAAGATAATACGGTAGCTAAGCAACTTAGCTTCATATTAAGGTTACAGCAAATTTTAACAGTTTAGAAATCAACACAATCTAAAATTTCTAGTATTTCAGCATTAGTATTGCTCAATTAATATTACAGAATATTTGAAAATTAAAACTTTTATTTACCTTTTCTTTCTTTTTTGGTATCCTTAATTTCTTTTTCTTCTGTTTGGGAACAGAAAGACTGATGTTTAGAGGATCTTCCATCAACTGCTTAACTTCGGCAAGAAACTTCTCAGAAGCTTCTTCCGCATCAAAACTAAGTCCAGCCATTTTCCGATGATCTTTTGACCAATACATAGTATGGAACGTCTCCTGTGACTTATAATTCGATCGATAGTCAATAGAATCTTTCCACAGAACAAAACCAGATCCTTTCTCGGCCAGAACAATCTGAAGCCTTCGTTCGTTTCTAGCACGAGTTTCCCCTTTGTCCAACAAGAGAACTGGTATACCAGTTCTTTCTGGTTCTCCCCAATCATCGTTGCCAACTGTTGAGAAATATAAATTAGCTAAACACCGACACACGTACACATAAGTCTTATGACTGCCGAAAAAAACTTCGATTTGTGCTATGTCTTGTTCGGAAAGTAAACCATTTTCAACTTGGTTTGTTTCACTTTCTTGGTTATCTTCTGTTTGGTAATTGCCGTCTTCCAGCGAATCTCTGGAAACCGAATTATCTGGATTCACAGATATTTGGAGATTATCCAACTGGCCATTAAGACATTTAAGAGAGTCATATTTCTCCATGATAAATTTAACGGCATATTTTTCATTGTTTGAGTTTTTTGTGACTATTTCGGGATCACAATATATTTGTTCTGGTTTGTCTTCGTAATACTTAACGTTGCCGTTGTGGCACGTTTGATAAGGACTTGTGATAATGTACTGTTGTTCCATTATAGTTTTTTTTATACAGTTGAGAGCTCAATAAAACACAACGGGATGTCGAAGAAAAGTAATCATTTTGTATAAGAGTTGACCACCAGGTGCACGCTGGTTTATTCTATACCTAAAAAAGAAAGAAATGCGGTTTTATTAAATTCACAATAATGATTATCAAAAGGTTTATTTAATTTCGCAGCTTGTAAAAGAATATTAAATTCCAAGCTTTTCGTTTGAATTTTGTACTGTCCAGTCGCACCTGCTTTTTCGCCATTAAACCCATGTTAACTAACGAACCATTCAATATTATTGTATGCTGTGTTTATTGAATGGGAGGAAAGAATCTACAATTTTTATTATAGCAGTCAGACTTAAAATTATAATTCCTCTAGAGTTATCATAGTTTATAAAATAATATTAATTATTATTATCGCTATTTTAATTATCATTATTTTTATAAATTATTAATCGTAATTTATAAAAATATTCTTACATATTATCCAATCAAATATTTTTAAGCATTAAATATTAGGGAACGTTATTATTAAATGATCATATTAGGGGCAGAGTATGGTGAAACTTGACAGATAAATGGCAATTTAAAATTTTCAAATAATAAATTTAAGTTATAATTTATTTTAATAAATTATTTTGGCATAACTTAATTTTTAAAATAAAATAAAAAATATGGCAATCTTCTCGATGAAATGAGGTTTAATTTATGAATTATGCATGCTTACGAGTATAAATAACTACCAAAAACAAAAAGAAAGCTTACGGATTATAAAATGGCTAGTAACTGTGGTTTTTATTGCTGTTAAGAAAATCGTGGAAGTCTGTCTTCTTTCCCTTTCACGAAACAGTCATGAGAGGGGAAAGAAACAAACATAAAAGTAATAACAAAAATTTAATCCAGAAAACACCCTCAAATTCAAATGAAGTAAAGACCAGACACCAGACGAAAAGCATTGTTATGTTCAAGGATGAATTTCCAAGAACTAGTCAGCACCACGCCTGATGAGATATTAACAGCTTCACCTGGAGAGGTGTGGTTACTGGTTAGTTTCTAACAAGTTTATGAACTATAATCGAATAATTCTATCTAAGTGTGGTTTTCAAGAGGCGTGGGAACCTGTATTCTTTCTGCATTATTATAAAAATACATTAAAAAAAGGATGTTCTTATAATCACGTGTTTTCCCATAAACAAAAACAAGTTTGCTCTCATAATTATGCTTTTAGAAATATTTTTCTTGAAAGTGGACCAATCCAGAGTTTTTTGGGAAAGGTCCCGTTTTTATAAAATTGCAAAAGATCTACTAATAATTTTGTGAATCTAAAACGCGTTAAATCAGATTGTTGTTGTTTTTTTCAGCCAGGGTGTCCTGTTATAACAAATTTGTGAAAATTGGGTCTTGTTTTTGATTTTGTAAAAAATCATCAAATGATAATCAGTTCAGTAAAAATAAATAAAAATAATACTCAATAGGGAATAAAAATAAATACAGAATGATACTCAATACAGTAAAAAATATAAAAAAATTATAATCCAACAGTAAAAATAAATACAAAATGATACTCGAACACAATAAAAGTTTTAATAAAAACACGCAGAAAGAAATATATCATTCAATATTATTAAAATATTCCTAATTTTTTTTTTTTTTTAATGAAACATGTGAAGATACATTCCCATGATACTCAATAGACACTTAGTGGTTGGATTGTATAAACGATAAAACTATTTTGTGAAGGGTCTGTTTTAGCGATAAAAAAATGTGAAGGGTCCGTTTTAAAATGACCTCGATACTAATTTAAATTAAATCATGTTGACAGGCCTCACAAAAAATAGGAAGCGCCATCAAGTTAATCTGACAGTTAAAATATTAATTTTTTTCGCCCTTATTGTCAAATCCACAAGTTTTTCTTTTTAGTTACGCTATAGTGGCTTCTAACAAAAGGTGTAAAATTAACAAACGGTCAGCTCATTTTGAAATGTTTTTATGAAATTTAGGACAGTTTAGAAAAATGAAACAAACGAATTGTATTTCTTTTACGAGATCAAATTTTTAAAAGTGTCAAATTTATGACACTAGTCAGACAAGATGTTACACTGACTATGATGCCGAGTATCACTATGATGCGAGACAAGTGCCACAAAGCGTGTCGTAGTCTTATTACATTTTTATAACACCAGGTATAAAATCACATTTTTTGTAAAAGGACTGTTTTCATAAAATTTTAAAAAATTTCCCTATAATTTAGTGAAAATAGGTTTATGTAATGTGTGAAGTATCACAAAAACAGTGGTTTGTTAAGCGTTTTCGTGAATTGTAAAAAATTTAAGCAAATATTTTGTGTATATCTGAAAATAGACATTGTTCTTGGAGAAAATAACACGCCTTTCCAGGGGTATTAATACATTTTTACACACACAAAATCTATTTGTTAGTCTAAGTGTCATACCTGATAATAGATAGAATTCATAATCTAAATTTCACACATAAATCTGTTTATTATCTGCGCAAAATTAATACTGTGCAGAGAGCGTTAGATCTACACAGAGGAAAATTTATCTTGAGAAATTTATTTCACAAAAGCCTTTTAATCATTTTTATTTATTTTTTCATTCCTATGATAACTACATAGCTTATTAGTTAGAAGTTATTGTGTCAACCTTAAGATTCGGTATACTTTTTAAATTTGTCGACATGATGCGTTTGATTGAAAATACAGACCTAATAAGATTAAAAAATAAAATTGAACAATAAAAGATAAAAATGAATAAATAAATGTCTTAAGTTTTGGAACAATGATTGCTATAATCCTTAAAAATATTCAACCAAATACGACGCATAATATTTTATGGTTGTTTACAGCTCCATGGAGACATAATGGAGAAGTAAAACTAAAAAATCGCCCTTCAGTAATGGAGAATCAAAATTATCCTATACAAATGAAAGATGCGAAATTTCTGCAGAAATAAGTTTTGTTTGAAAAAGTATTATTAAAGCCCACCAAATAGAACTTCAAAAAGCTACAGCAAAGATTGTTCTATGATGTAATTGAAATATTCCACATATAAGTATTAATAAAATAATTAACAGCAGAAATTAAGCCCCTTTTTATTAAGAAAATATAGAACTTGTTATTTAATTTTTTAAACAATAAACAATTCAAATGCAATTTAAAAAAATCCGAAGCTTTACAAATATAGCTAGGATTTAACAATACGCCAGGAAAAGTTGAAGAATTTTCAATATTTTCTAATCAGTGTAATATTTTTTAAGCTGCTACGTGCCTTTAGACAAATCAGAGAAAGGGCGAAGAATTAATTATTCGAACTGAAATAGCTTAGACTTATTATCATAAAACTTTAATAAGGCTATTTACAATATACTGCTTTAGGCTTTACAATTTACTGCTTTAGGCTTTACAATTTACTGCTCTAGGCTTTTCGAAAACTATCTGAAGTAAATAAAGCTAATTGAGCAATGTATGTTTTCCAAGAAGTCTAAAGTTTTGCAGGAAACGTGGTGGCTCAGGGGATAGAGAGCTCTCCTCCCAATGAGGTGATGCGGGTTCGAATCCCAGCGATGCCTGGTCGACGCAAATTCCGCACCCGGCTCACACCGACAGCAATAACGGATCATGGGTTAGAATACCTTTACCGTTGGGTTAAACGTGGGAGGTTTTGCACTCCGTGTTGCGCAAATGCGGGTTAGTTCCAACAAAAAATCCTAACCAAAGGCGAATTTCTCTTGCTACTTGATCCAGGAGTATCCTTGTTTTCTGGATTAAGTTCAAAATTGGAAGACTATGGAGTTGAACATTGATAGTCGTTAACTTAAAAAATGGATCGGCTGTTCAAGAGCGGTTATAAAACATTAAATTAAAGTGTGTAGTCTCACAGCAATAAGCCTAAATATTATTATACGTTTTTTAAGGAGTCACATTACCCAAAAAAAGGCTGAATAGAAAGAAAAAAAACTGGAAATTTTTTGATTAGTTTGGCGCATTGCAAAATATTTCCATTCTGTTAGAAAAGATCTAGATAATTTCTATAGCTTACGTCAATCACATCATTAACAACGTCAGTTTTTATAAAAGAGAGTTCTAAGTCAAATTCTTTTGTTCCGTTTAAATCAAACATAACATTATTCTAGTGTTAGATCTTATAAAAACAAATCTATAACCTTAACAAAAAAATATTCTTTTTAAGCAGTTATGATTTTGATGCTAAAATTGGAAGTCCAAACCACATGTTTGTTTTTATACTGACAGATGGAACACTGGCCATGTGCTCTGTGAAAACTCATTGTTTCTCTCGTCTTTGAAAAATAATCAGCTAAGAGCTATTTTTCTAAAATAAGCATAACAAACTTAGGTATAATAAGGCCCGTAGTTATTTGGAAAGTCACCTTTTCAAGATAATTTATTATGTCTTTGAGGGAAGGTATAATAGATTAAAATAACATTCGATTTTCAGAAAATTATATGTAAGGCAAACTTCGAAAATATTTATTATTATTTAACAAAGAAGAAGTGAAATAAATGTATGGGAATTTAGAAGACAGAATGATGGAAACACTTCTATACTAATACATTTTTCATATTTCTCAAGAAATACTTAAAGAATCATTTTATTATAACTTCAGATCATGCGATTTTTCACGCTTATCAATAAAGTTTAAATCTTTTAGAGGTTTGAGGGTCCGTCAATAAATTATAAACGGAAAATAATGTTTTTGAACACCCTATGCCGAAAAAGTAGCAATAAATTGGTAACTCGTAACGATTACTTGATTATTATATGCAATAATTACGCAAAATTTCGTAAGCCTAGCTAAAAAATTTATGGAGGTATAGCCATTGTATAAAGAAAGCTAACTTTTTTGTTTTATATTTTTTTGTTATAACTTTAAAAAGATTTAATAAAATTAAAAAAAAAATTTCAAGCAATTTAAAATAAATAATAAAATTATTGTTTAAAAATTTGAGAAAAATTTGCCAAAAACAGCGAAAGATATGAGTAATTAACGTAGTTGTTTTATGCTGTGCATTTTATAAAAATGTCCATAACTCCATAAATATTTAAGCTAGATTAACGAAATTTTGTGCAATTATT